GCTGAGCATCGTAAGTCTGACCAAAGTGTGAAGCTTCATGCGAGAATGACCTTCAAAAAAAAACTTTACTGTCAGATGTGGTATGGTTTTCACCTCATGTGTAGCTGTGGTTGTTGGTAGGGCTCTTGCATAGTTGGAATTGCTGAGATAGATTTACTCTGTTGGTGATGCACAGCCATAGGTTGTGCTTGGTGCTGTGAGCCTACAGTACGACTGAAACGAGAATAACGTTAGTAGAGCAAGAGGAAAAAAATCTTACTTATTCGAATAAAATTCAAAATTTCTCGTATCAAGTTCAGGAGGAGCACTAGCTTGCTTCTTATGAAAAGGAGTCAACATGGGCATCTTAAAAAGATAAATGAAAGATGGAATTATGAGAAAGCTTTACTTGAGGACTGCTCATTGATGTTGCACTTGGACTAACAGCCGAATTTCTACCGGTCATATGAACCTCATCAGCAGAACCCTGAGGAGAGTGACCGGCACTGCTTCCCCTGGGGGGAAGCAACGGTGTATAGTAGGAAGAGGGAAATTTACCCTTCAAAAATATGAATATGTTAAAGCAATATGAATGAACAAGTTGCTCACCTTAGTTTTCTTGTCATAAATCCTACCGTCGTTGTTAGCTTTTGCAGCTTGCAAAAGCATATCGATACTTTTGTTTGCATCAACAAAAGTTTTTATCTGAACACACACAGAACATGAAACGAAAGAGCGAAAGTGCGAATCTGTACCTGCACAGACGGATTCGGTATTTGTGCCGACGACATCTTGTAACTGGTGGCTTTTTTTGAAGCCATGCCGCCCCTGCAAAAAAGAAATTTGAGAAAACGGAGAAAGCACGAAAATCTTTGAATAAATAGAGTATAGAAGTGTATATCTATTCTAAAAGCAGGAGAAACAGTAATGGAAGAAGCGCAATAAGGTGTATCGTTGAAAGATAAGAATGATGAACCCAATAGTGTAAACCCATAGGTAGAGAGAATTAAAATAATATTATCAGAAGATGGTTAATAATCTGAAGTACGTGTAAACCTTACAATAAGAAAAGCAAAAAGAGGAAAGTCAAGAAGAACATAAAATGAAACACCTTAGTTATAGAAGTTTCATGTGATGAGAGAAGAGGAGAGTCGTTCTTCGCACAGATGAGCTGGTTGATGACGGGGTGGAAAGAAAGAACTCAAAGAGCCTTTTCTAGATCATCGAGTACAAAGATTCTCCGCATAAGGGGAGGAGGTAAACGAATGTTTCAAATGAAAATAGCAGTTGTTTAGTTTAAAAACACAGTATCCTGAGTCATATATACACAATATCAACCGACGATGTAACCATAGGTGAGAAAATTGAAAAATAACAAAAATAATGAAAGCCTTAGAATTCAACATCTGAATACGGTATTGCATGACTTGCCGACCACGACAAACCGGCGCCATGTAATAACAGGATGAGGTTACAATCTTAAAATAATGTGGTCATAACGATATACATTAAGATGTAAGTAAAAATCGAGAAAATGTCAGAATAATATAGCTTGTAGTTAATGAAAGACACATTCCATGGTGAAGAGACAACCGTGAGTCAGGAGATATACAAGCTTCAAGAGCTTCAAAATTGATTTTCAAAAAGTATATTGTAAAAATCAGCCATACAACACTTTTGAGACGCCGAAAAGGTATATAAAATTGTTTGACTCACGTGTCGAACCCAAAAATTGGGAATAGAAAGACGGACAGCCTAGACAATAGCGGAAACGGATCCATAAAATGATAAGCTGATAACAATATATAAAAGATTGAAAATACTAAATCGGAATCAGAGATTTACGAAAAAAACAAGTTCGCTTCGAGTATATGAAGCATGAGGATGATGAGTAAATGGTTAACGAAAGTTATAAGCAAAAGCTTGAGCTCATTGGAAATGAAACAGACAGATAAGCCTTTTCGTGTAAGTTCATCAAACCAATCTGATGAGCTTCAGATAAATCACATAACCATGGTTGTATTTGAATTCGGATATCTATACTTCGTTAACTATTATCTTGGCACATCTTCAATACTGCCATAATCACAATTTTTAGCATACTGATAAAAGTAATGAGACGTATTAGAAGCAAAATCTGGTTGTAGTTAGAACATGGCAAACGATTACAAGAACGGGAATGGTAACCGATAGTTCGAGAAATAACGGCTATAAGGTCACGAGACTGATGAATCTGACTCCATCAGCGACCGGTAGTTGTTAGCTCAATGATAAAACGTACAAATTGATATTAACAAAAACAAATAGGAAACGAATGTAAACTAATAAAAATAGAAGCTTTAAACAAGAAGGGTTTTATCAGTACAGGCAGGTAAGAGTCAAAGCATGGAAAGAGGGGAGAAGGAGAGGAAAATAACAAAAACGAACACATTAAACAATATGTTAACTGAACAAGCGAAAGTTTTCAGAATAGAAGGAATTAGCAGAATAACGGAAATGAACTCAAAATCACAAATGAACTGCATTCCCCTATAAGAAAATCGAATAAACCAACCCTTCACAACAGGAAACATATGATGATCACCTGGTGGAACAAGCGGGTGATGTGCCAGGGACGGGGATACAAGTGATGATAGCCAATCAATATAATCTTTTCCATCTCTTCTCTCAAGCAGCGCTTCCCTCCACTTCTTCGCCTCTAGCTACAAACGAAATCTCACGGCTGTTCGAGTATGAATCGTGCCATACGAAACAAACTAGCAACACTCACAGCCAAAGTTTCAAACCATTTTAATCAAATTCCATAATATTAAGATTGCCCAATGCGGATTTAACGAAAAAAATAATTCGAATAGGAAAGCCGTTGGATTAAAGAAAAATCTGAGACTAAGCATTGAGGGTGGAACAAACAAGATAAAAAATGTGGTCTCTTCGAAGAAAAAAACAGAAGAAACCCAACCGCTCAACTCTACGTTCGATAGGAAATGAAAACATTGATTACTTAATAAGCAAAACTGAACATGGAAAAGAAAATAAAAGTTCGTGTCACAATAATATATAAAAAACGCTGAAACAGACGAAAGATTCGATAATAACAAATGATTTACAAACTTCTTTCCAAACTTTCGTCTGAAAATGGTAATGCTCTTTCGAGTTGCGAAGACGAAGAGAGGAGCAGCATGTAGTAGGTAGAATTCAGAGAAATGAGGAAAACTAATAAAAAAGAGAGAGAGAGAGACAAATGATAAAGGTTACTCGAATATTATTAAAAAGTTCACATGTAGACATGTTGACCTAAACGGAAGACGAGGGCTGACGGAAAATAAGGATAGTCTAATGAGATGACCAATGCTGTTGGTTGCGACAACGTAGTCGATGACGATTGACGACTGATAAGGCGGTGTTGTGAGAATACTGGAGGACGCATCGCGTCACGCAGTCGCACAGTCCCTTAACCTTACTTCCCTCTCTCTATCTCTCATTCTCGACGTCCTCTCTTGATGTCGCTGAAAGTATCGGCGCCCCTCCATTTGCCTTAAAGGACCGTTTGGCCCCGTTTAACTTTCTCTCAGTATCTTCATTTCTTTAATTCTCTTCTCCAACTTGCTCATCTCTAGAATTTTCTCTCTCGTCTGCAATCATGTTCTGTTCTATCACCTCCATCCTCTACCACACAGCCAGTTGGAATACCAACCACAGCACAGTAGACTTCAGTCCAGCGACTAGGCAAGATGTTAGGCCGGCAGAAGGTCATCTAACATCTTATGTTCTAGTCAAAGTATAGTAGAAAGGTATGAGTTCACAGAGACATATAAGCTTCAAGACAACTGTAAGGGACGCAATACCAATATCACTCGTTCAAAAGAGTGGAGTAGAACCAAGAAGAACATAGTTAAAAAAACATACAAAAACCGAACAAAAAAAAAGTTTTCGGGAGAATTACAAGCTTAAAGCAAAGAAAAGATGAGACAATGACTGAATTGCTGATAGAGACGCAGAGCAAAGTTTTCAAAAAACAGTTGTTCACTTCTGATCGGAGACAAAAAATTATTATATCATCATATTCACGCTAATCTTCATTTATGTAATTGCGAACAGGTCATTTATCATTTGAAGCTGGCCATTCTAGCTGTCTCATTGAATGGATGAGGAAGTGGATAACGAATCCAATGCTCAAATCGTAGATGAAAAACATTTGTGCGATTTATCGAAATTGAAATGATATCGAACGGCGGTTTCAACAACCTGGCACCAAGTCCTTCATTGACAGGTAACCTCTTTGTTTTTATTGATCTGACCTTCAAGCTGTCTAGGGATTTGATGTCGCCGTGTCTTATGCGAGATCATAATGTAAAACACACTCTCGTAAGACGCTAACAGTAACACCTATTCAATTTTTGATGATCAGCTGATTTACAATATGAATCAGAATAGGCTTCCTCAGACAAGCGTTCTCGCTATTCTAATTTGTTCGCAAAGAATCGCGAATGTTGCTTTAGTCATCGTATTATTTAAAACAAATTTGTACGAACATCACAACTAATCATCTCTGTTATAGATTAGAACATAATTCGGACAGCTGTAGGCTAATTCAAACAGAAAATTGCAAAGTGAGGTAGTAAGGTACTGGTCGAGCGATGAGGACAACTATGACGACCATCTTGCGCTAGGTCTCTTGCTTACTCGCCCGACGCCCACGCACGTGAGCATACAAATTGACATAGATAGAAGATAAGAGAAAACGAAGAATACAAGAGAAGCAACACAAAGATGAAAAATGTTACTCGGTCATTCCTCCCACTTTTCTTTCTCCTCTTTGGCTATATATTAGTAGTTACCACTTTTCACAATGTATGATTTGAGACTTTCAGTTAAACAACAGTAGTCGGTGAGGTATGAAAAGAAGTAGCAATAGGGAGCAATAGGAAGGAAAACAAATCATGAAGTCCGATAGAAAGTGTGAAAGAACACAATTCAAAAAACAGACTGCTCAACAGAAAAATCGCAACCGAGACGAGACTATTCCTTTGATGGAAGACCAAAAGGTTTAAAATATCACGACAGAGAAAGAGAAAGAGAGGAGAGAGAGAGAGAATGAGGGAAAAGCTCTAATCATTTCTTGAAAACGAAGGCGATTTCGAAAATATAATCAACAACACGAACTCTAGTAAAAGAAACTGAATGCTGTAGAGAAAACAGAGGAGCTGGAAGAAACATAAAAGCCGGCTGCTATCTACACTGATGAGTGGCCGGTAAACATACCTCCTGCTACTAAAAACCATATCGCCAACACTCTTATCTCTAACTGAGCTTATACAGCGTTCTTTATAAGATGAATATGAGCTCATATTATAAACTAATGGTTCAATAATAAGTAAACGGAACAGAAAAAGCTGGAACAAAAGTTTCAAATAAAATGAGTTTCCTCGGCAAAAAGTCGAAAATTTCCATTTACAGCGTTTACGCAGCTATTCCAGTTTGTGTTGACAAACTGATCTTCCAAGAGGAACGATGACAATGCAGTTGCCAATAACTAAGACAGCGCCTGGAGACCAATCGTCGGAAACGTCTTCGAGGTCGAGAACACAAAAAAACGTGTTTCAAGTGACAGACGGCAGTAAAATGGACGTTACTTTGTTTTCCCAGCTATCGCTTGGCATGAATAACGAAAAAGTTCATTCAATTTATAAGAAATCAAAATGGGAATCAGAAAAGGTAAAAGAAAACTATTGAAGCATGTAAGGAAGCAACGCGTATTGAAAATAAACCGTTCTCGTAGATGAGTCAACATAACATATTTACAATGACTTATAAGGATGAGGATCGGAAAGCTTAGATAGAAAGTTTAAGCCAATCAGCTGATCCACCATATATATCCAAATGTAGGCGAATTACTACATAAGACCTCAAACCTATCCCACCTCTACCACAAGGAACGTGCATCAAGGGTCGGTGCAACTGATCGTTACAATCGATAAAGGTTGGATGATACTGGGGAACGGTCTGTCAAAAAAGGCGTCGAACACAACGAAGAGAGCGCTGAAAGGAAAATGGAAAACAAATGAATGATGCGAGCGGAGAATCGTCAGTATACGCCCCAAGGAATCATTCGAACACAATGAATACAAGGTGGAAATTGAGAAGTCCAATAGATAGGAAACATTCAGTCAGAAGCTGCAATGCAACAAAGCGAGAAGCATATTTCTGAGAGAATATTGAGACGCGATTACTATCATAAAGAACTGAGAGGGAAATTACGCCAAAAAAAGATCAGAGAAAACAGGATCAATCTATACACGTGAAGAAAAATAGATAAGAATCTGACCTGATGTTTCCTGCAACCAACCATTTAGTTTGCTGAACCAATCCTGGAAATAAACAAAGGTAACGTGGAGATGAATGAAAAAAAAGAAAATTAATTGAAATTTCGTTTTTGTTTCAATTTGACGCGAAAAGAAAAGAAAGTCAAACAAGTCCTGGGACTGAAAATATCACCTCAAAAATTGCAGTCGAGGTGGTCATTATTAAAACCATTTATCGTGCCGGCCCGATCTAGAAATGAGGAATGAATTGACATATTTAGAAAGTAAAGTGAAAATATGTATCTGAATGAAAGAAGAACAAATACCAGAAATGCATAAACGTACCTGTAAGTAGAGTGAATGGAGCTTGGTGCACACAGCCGAACCAACCGCTCTCATCAAAATATTTCAAAAAAATGATTTTAGTCACTGATCAACTTTCCCGCTCTAATGATATTCGGCATGTACGTGATGAGGCCAGCTACTGATTTGAATTGAAGTAATAGATTGGCGAATGCAGAAAAAGACGTAACTATCAATGCTATACTACTACAACACATTTTTTGTAAGATCCTTCATAAGAAAGATGGTTTGATTCAAAAAGAATTCGGGGAAGAAAAAGTAAACGATGAATTGCAACCAGTTGGGAAAGAAATCTGTATGCATTACTTGATCATCAACAATGATAGAACCCTAGAACTCTCTGTAGAAAACATTTATTATGAAGTTATTATCTTTATTATTATTCTAAAACCCTCCTAATTCTTCTAAAACTCTAGATATACTATTCTGACTAGCTGATATGTTAGAATGAATCTTTGAACTGTTCTCGCAGCACATTTTTCTGCACCTTAGCCATGGAGTTACGAGGTAAGCTTTGGAGGAAAACAACCTTCTTAGGTACCTGAAAAGGAGATATCGAAGAGAAGCACCTAGCCTCATACCTTATAGCCGGATAGTTGTTCACGAAGGTGGGTTATGGCCTTAGTAGTAAAGGCCTCTCTATCGACCGGGTTCTTAGTGACAATCACAGCGACAACGGCTTCCCCGAACTCTTTGTGTGGTACTCCTGAAACTCTCAATGAAACATCGGGGATGGTTATTATGTATACCGATGATAGCACTTTCAGCTACTTCATCCAACTTATCAATGACATCTTCTATTTCCTTTGGATACACGTTTAGTCCTCCAGTTATAACGAGATCTTTACTTCTACCCAGGATTTTAATGAAACCTCAAAAGTTTTGCTATGACGTTAACAACTCAAGTCGTGTATACCTTGATTATCAAATTCACCTACATCACCAGTAATGAAGTACCCGTCATCAGTGAACTCTTTCTTTGTTCTTTCTGGATTCTTCCAATAACCGGCGAATAAGGCATCAGATTGTATCTCTATGCCACCCGTGCTGTTAATCCTAAGCTTGGTTCCACGCAAAGGCTTTCCAACCGACCCTGGCTTCCGTCCGTCTACATCATAGAGATTAGAACAAATAACTTGAGCTAAAAATATCGTATCATGAAAAACGACATCAAATAGTAAATTGCCTTCCGTCATTCCGTATCGTTCTAAAATGGTATGACCAGTCGTAGACCGGAATTGTTCCCACATGGGGAGAGAGAGAGGAGCACTACCCGAGACAAACAATCTTATAGCACGATGTGCGGATGTGGTGAACATTGGATGATTCAGTAACCGTCTAAAATGAAAAGATGACGTTTTCGAAACCTTGTGATACGTTCAAAAGACTTACGTATAATAAGTAGGGACTCCCATGAATACTGTACAATGAGGCATCCATTTGAGAGCATCATCAACATTGAATTTGTCTCTCCAGACAACAGTGGAATGGGAAAAGAAAGAACAGTTGAGTGAAATGAACATTCCATGAACATGATAGAACGGTAAAGTGTGCAATAACCTAAATTAATTTCTGTTTTTCTGAACATTTCCGATTCCCTAGCTTGTCATCATGAGTGAATCTCCAGTTCTCAACCAATGCTTCAGCATTTGTTGATAACGACCCATGGGTAAGCATAGCTCCTTTTGGTAAACCTATTAGAACGATGAAGGGTTCTCTTTGTCGTACTTAGCCAATTACCTGTGGTGCCAGAGGTATAGCATACACAAGCAACGTCGTCAGAGTCCACATTCTCTACTTCCATTTCAGGTTTTTTCTGAATCAAAAGTTAATTTGTACAGTCTATGAGAACGAACATTTCTAGTTTCTTTAGCCAGCACTTGCTCCCTAATAACATTAGGAATTTGCTCACGGAAGATTAGATCAGTTGCCTCATCACATGTGACCAACAGCTTTGGAGCCGAATCCTTGAGAGGAATCATTACGACACACTATTGGAATTAGCACATACCTTAACGTAATGGGCAGTTTCATTACGTGTATAAGCTGGGTTGACAGGGATATAAATAGCTCCCAAGCGTAGACAAGCTATATACAGAGCCACGGAATCGATGGATTTCGTTGTTCTGGCTAGAACACGGTCTCCTTTCTGGATTTAGTAAGAAGGAACTCGAATATTCAAAAGAAACGTACTCCAATTCCATACTTATTGTTGAGGATGTTCACATACTGACCTGTACGATTCATGAAATCGCCATATGAATATGTCCTAGTGTCTTCTACAAATGCAACCTAGACTAGAATGAAATAAAAACTGAATTCTGATCAACAGCACTTTTCCAGGGTTCAGATCTAATCCGGCTCTAATAGTGAGATTTTCAGCTTTCGAAGCTATGCCTCTTAGGTTCGATATGAGATTACGGGATAGCATCTTGATAGATACTACGTATTATGAAAATAAACATAAAAAACGAAAAAGTATAGAGTATGATCATATCAATGAGGTTGAGAGAATCGAGGCACGGTCAACATTTATTTGAATCCTTAATAACAAGAAGATAACAATAAACCTAGCTAGACTATTATATTATATACAAAAACAAGATAAAGCTGCTTTAACCTTTGAGCTTCTTGGCCAATGGATTCATGTACTTTCCAAGCAATTTCTCTCCGAACTTAGACTCCTCTGTTTTCCGCACATATTCCTCCTCGTTCGATGTAATATCAACACCCTTCTTCAGCTTTTCGACTAGTTCCTGCTCATATCTTAATAAACTTCTTCAGAACAAATCTGAGTATAAATAGTTACTTAAACTTAAGAGGCTCAGGCTGAATGCTTTCTTCCAGAAGCTGTTGCTTACGAGCTGCTTCATTGATATCCAATCCTACCCATTCAGCTTCCTCAGCGGGAATTTTGTATTTAGCGTATCTGAAATAGCAGTTCCTCAGAAAATTAGGCTAATCCAACTTCTCTTTGATGTAAGCTCTCTTATCTTCGTCTTCGGGGAAATAATCTTCATTAGCTAGACGAAGAAGCATCTCTTGCTTTAATCTGTAACAAATGCATTGAACTATGGTGTATTGAATTGATAAAACTTATTGCCAAGTTTCGATCTCAAATCTAACTCAGGTGTATCCAAAATGTAATAATCTAATCCGTGAGCTTCATCAATCAATCGACAAGCTCTCTCAGTAACAGTGATCTGAACAATGTAAAATGAGTATCTTGTTCAATGATATATGTTGGATATGAAGATAATACCTGTAAATACTGATCCAATATTTCCGAATAAAACACTGAACATTTTAGATAAGGGAAGAACAGACGAGGGACCCAATTCCTAACAATATCATTAATGCTCGACATTACAATGAACTATTAGAACCTGTGAAGAACTTTCTTTTTTGTATATGGACGAGATTCAATCCAGCCTTTCACAATTCCTTCACCACCCCAAAGACCTTGGTCAGCCTCAGGTGGATGAACGCCTAACATTTTAATAAGAAAGAATGGAAAACGAGTGAATGTACCTATGATAGGATTAACTTCGGCTTCAACCTGAGTGTTTCGCTTAGGATCCCAAAAGTATCTCGAGTTGGGGACGCTAAAGAAATATAATTTGAATATAACATGACACGTTTCACGTGGAAACACGAGTGTTGTGGCTTTAGAATGAAAACCATTTCTGCCCTCGCCACAGCACGGAACGGTTGTATTCACTTACCGGTAATGTACAGGAGCAGCATCCTTTAGTAAGCTGTTCCAATACCTAACTTTATAATGCTCTGGTAATCGATGTACAATGGACTCAGGATTCGCCCAAATTTCTTCATTTCTCCGTATTCTTTCGGCCTATAACACACTCATGAAGGGCGAATCGAGATAAAGCACGTTACTTTATCCCAGGTAACGATTGGTCTCGGCGCCAGTGATGTAATGGCCTTCAGATTTTTCGCCAGTGACATCTATGTTAGCATGTATGTTAGTTTGGAGCACACTTTATCAACATTACAAGTAGAATAAGGATATAACCGAGGAGGAATCGCGAGTCAGATAAATGAAGTTTTATTATTCACTTAAAACGTATGAATTAAAACTAACGAGAACAGTAAACTTAGTAAAGTTCATTTAAGTGTGAAAACCGTGATGTGGACACGTGAAATAAATAAAATACAACAATGATGATCCCGAAGATAACAGTAGAGAACGAAAAAAATAAATAGGCCCGGAAGCAATATCACTAGAACGTTGGGGGGAACAAGGCAATTCAAACTAAAATAAATAACAACCCTCGTTTGAGTGTTCAGGCCTCAAGAAATATATCCGAAGGAAGAACCACAACACTTATTCAGCCTTAACCCTGAAACAGAAAGCAGAGTGTGTTTTCCAGTACAAAAAACAACTTACTTTCTCTTATCAGCAATTTGTCTAAGTAGACGATTACCAGCCAAGAAAGTGAATGTTCCAATGATGGCCAAGTATTTGAGCGTCTCGAACATATTTAGCTGGAGCCAGAAAACTCCATACAAACCGAAGACAGCTAAATTTAATAGATTAGTGAGCGAAGTGCTAGTACTCAAATCTCACCGGCAAGACCTGAGTGGAAAAGGAGAACCCAAGGACTGGCTGGCATATTACCGAAGTTGATGCCAATTCTCAACCACTGTAAAATGATTTAAAATTTATAAACAAATTTCCTGATTCCTACCAAAATGAATAGAACTCCTAAAGGAGACAAGCAGGCAACTGTGAACAAAGAAGATAGGAAAGCTGGAGCTCTCTTATCAGGTTGTCGGAACAAATGCTTGATCTCGGGCAGTGGTTCATAAACAACTTCTTGTGTTTTAGGAACAATTTCAACTGGGGCAGGGAGAAGAGTGAGACTGAGATCAGCATAAGCCCACTCAATCACGTTCTTCATAGTGGCATCACCAACATAAACCTTGATGGTATATTTACCAGATTGAGCACCCCATTCGCTATGAGCCTTAGCGAGACCCTAAATGTGGAATTGATAAAGCGAAACTCTGCTTTGGGACTTACGATATCAGCAACATATGAGTTTCCAACAGATTTAGCTGCATAATAGTACTCAGCTCCAGAGGTAGAATGTGAGAGAACAATGAAAACTTGTTGAGCAACAACAGTGCTGCCTCCAGCCTTGGCTTTCAAGGAGAACTTAGTGAAGACTCTCTTGGTATGATCAGCTTGTAAAACAGATCCGTGCTTGGAGAAAACAGCGATGCTCTTCAAGCCAGTTTCTTCGGTATCTTGATTATCCAAAATTCCCAGTTGGAGCCCTTCGACTGTTACATCACGAACAACTGAGAAACGAACGGAATGTCCAGTGAGACCAACAAGCTTCTTGTTCTGCAAAAAAATTGTATGAAGCAACAACAGAAACCACTTCTTACAGTAGTATCCAAATCGACAAGAACATCATACACACTAGCTTCCTTGACCTGATCCAAAGGAACTTCATAGACACCACTGCACAGGTACATGAGTTATGGAATTTGAAAATTAAACATACGTGGATACTTTCTTCAGAGTAGCTCCTTGAGCAGCAACTTTGCCAAGATATGACTTGATGGTTACCTTAGCAGTAACATCTACTGGCTTTCCGTACACATCGGTTACTTTGATATTGGAGTTCTGTATTATAACTGTATGTGATACGTGAGAACAGAAATATACCTTTCCAAGGTCGACAGCAGTGGCGGAGTCGGTGAAAACAACAACGGGTACTTGTTGGCTTTTTGATAAGTAGTCCAGAGCACGGATATAGCTGTAGGCAGTAACGGGGGTGTTTACGTTTTTGGAATCGACGAGGTATCTAGCTACGAGAGCTAAGTGTTTCTAAAACATTATTAATAGAACTGTTCGTTGAAAGATGTAAAGCTACATCGTTGAATCCAGGCTTTCCATGTTGAGCTGCAAGAGTTTGAACTCCAACGATAGCGTCAGCAGTAGTAGCAAGACCACCATCAAACTATAGATAACAATTAAAATCAAATGAATCTCATAATGACTTACGTTCAAGAACTTTCCGTCGACGACATTGGCCTGGGAAATAATGCTGGCAATTTTGGCGCCGTACTTAGCAGAGGTGGCCTTTTCAAGAAGATTAGCAGCGTTAATTCCGGCGATGAGTCTGAAAATTTATAGTCAATATACATGGAAAGGTATTATTGAAAAAAATAAAAATAAAAAACTAAAGAGAATTCTCACCCTGGGGTGTTGGCATCTTTTAACGAGGCGGTTAAGGCAGTATCGAAAGCAGCTTTGTCAACCTGAAACACAGTACCTTGCTGAAAACAGCCATACTCCACAAATCTATACCTGGATAGCCAGTAATTCGGCTACTTTAAGTGCTTGGAAAAGTTTGACTGGTGTGACATTAGACTCTTTCAATACGGCATTGAGAGTTTCCTAAGAACGTGGCGTTATGAAGTTTTCCATCTACTACTCGAATACCTTAACTCCGTTGACTGAGCTGAAAGCGCAGTTTGGAAGAGCACTGGATAGACCAGCTGCATGATAGAGGGATTCCAAAGATTTCAAATCAGCTTTCTTAGCAATGTCACAAGCAGCCTTAAGAAATTCCGTTTCGGGCAAAAAATAGATGAGGTAACCTGAGCAGATGCAGTAGTGGCTTGGACATTCAGAAGTTTCAAAGTACTAGCAGCATAGTGAAGAGAAGCAATATCGTCTTTCTTTGTGCTCAAAACTTGCTAAAATAGAATAAATTAGATTTTGAATCCTGTAGAGTACAAGTACCTGAAGAGATTTTCCTAGTCTACCTGTATCTTCATCATTCCATGCTCCTAAATACGCGTTAATACCCACAATGCATACTCCCAACAACAAAAAAGGCTTCATGTTACCTTAAAAGTAAACAATTGTTGAAAAATTTCGATTATAATCCAATTAAAAAACAAAAAAAAACAATTCTACCAGTACAAACCTTATCAAGGAAGAAGCATATAATTTTGACGTGTCAGAGAAGTAGGCGTTGTGGGACCAATTATTTGGCGTTGGCACAGACCTTCACTACTTAATAGCCCAGGGCTATTCCAGAAAATGATATGCCATTCGATCTGGTTCATATACATGTTTCTATGAAAATGAGTATTTAATTTTTCAAAAACAAATGCATGCGAAAGAGTTTTATTCTATAGTTCCAAAAGTTTCTCGAAATAACATCACAACATCGTGCTCAAAATAGAAAATGGCTTCATGCTTCCTTCATACGTAGCAACGGCATAATAAAATGCTATTCAGTATTGATAATTCAAAAAAATTGATTAACGCTCTGTTCCTGGTAGCGTCTTCCTTCTTTATTGTGCATCGTCAATCATTGTTTACAAAATAACATAGTAGAACCTTTATTTTAGACTGCTTCATGGCAGATCCAAGACCAGTAACCGTCACGGTACATAGATATAGTTTTGTGTTTTCATAGAGTGATCTTTAGGCTACTGAAAATGGAGCTACAACGTCTGCTGCTACATTACGAGACGCTCGGGAACAAGGTGCATATGAAATAAGAACACAAAATAAAACTTTTGCTTAGAAGTGGAGGAAGATGAACATGAAATGCAATATGGAGCAAATCATGTAATTCATCTCTTCGTGCCTGTATCACTGTGTATGGCGATGGTTGTCATCACTATGAACACCATCACCTTCTACAGCAAAAATGGTGGTAGACACTTGTAAGTTGATGAAGTTTGTTGTTATTTCATCTTCGAGCTTCAGAATCTATACCCCTTTTGTAAAAGATACAGAGAGTATTGGAGAGCAAGCGTTGATGTCTTTTGGAAATGCGATTGTAATGTTAGGTGTTGTTATATTCATGACATCGTTACTGATTGTGTTTTATAAATATCGCTGTTACAAGGTTAGCTTACGAGACAGTATCTTGTTCTACATTCATCTTCAGGTCATTCATGGATGGTTAATATTAAGTTCTTTCCTGTTATTGTTCTGTTTCACTACCATGTATACACAGTAAGTTTCAGCTCTTCAATCATACAACCGCTCTTTGCATCCACCATTTCCAAAATGATTTCACGTGAATGCTCACGTATTCAATGCAATTTTTTTTTTCTTTCAGTGAAGTTATGAAGTTTTATGATATATCACTCTCCACTGTAAGCGTTGGGTTTTTCTTAATGAACTTCGGAGTATTGGGAATGATGTGTGTTCATTGGAAAGGTCCTTTAAGATTACAACAGGTTAGATCTCGGAGTTGCATGATTGGTTAAATTCATATTCAGTTCTACTTGATTACTATTTCGGCTCTGATGGCTTTGGTTTTCATCAAATACTTACCTGAATGGACTGTATGGCCTGTACTTGCCGTAATTTCCATCTGGGACTTAGTTGCAGTGCTCTCTCCTAGGGTACTCCCAACTTTTTATTCTATACCATATATGTTTATTAATATAGGGACCTCTCCGTATTCTCGTAGAGACAGCTCAGGAAAGAAACGAATCCATTTTCCCAGCTCTGATTTATTCATGTAAGCTTGAAGACAGGTTCTTCCTATGTAAACCTCATCTTCAGCTGGAGTCATGTATCCATATATTCTGTTAGGAATGGCAGAAGAGATTGCCATTGAACCTTCAAATGTGCAACAAGGAAATGGACCCGAGCCAAGCACATCTGATTCCACACTTCTCTCTGAGAATTCGAGTCCTGAAAAAAAACGGAATAAAGTGAAACGGATTGCCGTTCCTCCACCTCCAACTGCAGCATCCACGTCAGAGAAGTATGCGTTAACCGAAAACAGTAGAGCACCTCTTTTTTTCAGTCGTGTAACATCAGAGGTAGCTTATACAGAATTTCAAACTCAGCGTCCTCAAAGCAGCTCTAATTCTCGTATCGTTGAAGAGAGTATGTTGAGTGTCTCATTTCTCTTATAAGATCATTACTTTCAGAGGGTGTAAAGCTTGGGCTGGGTGATTTCATTTTCTACTCTGTGCTTGTTGGAAAAGCGTCGTCTTATTTCGATTGGAACACTACAGGTAACTATCTCCCTGGAACTATGTTATAAATAACCTTTTACAGTTGCTTGTTACATCGCTATTCTTGTTGGTTTGTGCTTCACCCTGTTACTGTTGGCAGTCTTCAAGAGAGCTCTCCCAGCTCTTCCCATCTCCATATTTGCTGGTTTAATATTTTACTTTTCAACTAGATGGATTGTAACCCCGTTCGTGTCAGAATTAACAAGACGCCAAATAATATACTAGTCAGCATTAAAATCTGTTTAACGTTTTCAGTTTATTAATATCCCCCAACCCTATTTATCTTCGTTAAACGGATGATTTCAATTTATCCAAATTGTAACTCTTAACATATTTCGTTACGTGTTATTGATCTAAAATTCGATCTCTCCTTCAATGGAAACTTATCAAATATATGCATAAAAGACTTTCTGATAAAGTACATTGTTGTTTTGATGGAATAGTTCAATTCTGGGTACAAAGGTCTCATTGAATACTGACGCCTCCCACCAAGCATACAAGGGTCAAAGTACATCATCACCTCGTCTTTAGCTAATCCAATATGCATTCCATCATCAGACACTGGAGCTTCTGTACCAAGATTGTTTCGTCACCATCAGTGTTCAACAAACCGATTTCGTTCACTAACGGTGATGGGAAACTAGTAACGGTTGATACTTTTTTCGAGGTTTGTTCTTGTGAAACAACTGATATCAAGTGTGTTTTCTAGGACACGAAACCCAATGGATCAGATGTTGGGACAGTTTTTGCATTCCATGGAGTACCTGGTTCGCATAAAGACTTCAAATATATCAAACCGTATATGGATCAAAAAAATATACGACTAATCAGTGTAAACTATCCAGGATTTGGTATTACTCCAGGTAGATTCTTATGAGTGATCCCCAAGCAGTACAACATTCAGAATTTCCCGGAATCGAGTTCACAAATACAGAAAGAAATGCATTTTTTAATAGTTTTCTAGATAGTTTCGAACTTGATAAACAGGTAGCCTATTATCATTGAGTTATTACTATACTCATTAGGTAATCTTCTTGGGTCATAGTCGAGGTACAGAGAATGCTCTTATGCTTAGCTTAGAGAGAAAGGTGAGCAAAAGACTGAAGAGTCTGTTGAAGATGTTGTTGTAGGTAAAAGGATTGGTTATGGTGAATCCCACGGGATTACGACCCCACCGCGGAATCTATCCGAGATGGCCGTTCCTTGTAATGGAGAAACTCTATGATATCCCAGCGCTAAGCAAGCTTATGAGTTCTGTCATCAACTATTGTGAGTGTTCAGTATGCTATGATATTCAACTTATGTTTAAGTGTATATAAAAGTCGGCTTAAAACCTTCAAGCGGGAAAGTAGCTGTTCACAGTGTCAAGAGTTTGAACACGATGGCATTGGGTGCACAGAGGGAGTTAATCAAACCATGGAAAGAATCAGAAGTTTCAATCATCAAATTAATGATTGAGGAAATTTCTATAGATCAAGTTACTCTTTTTGTATTCGGGGAAAGATTGGATAATGGAACATGAAATATTAGATGAGTTTGTAGCTGAGCTAGAGTTGCCGAGAGTGGTACGGTCATTGACTCCTTCGAATACCTAATCAGTCTTTTTAGGTTGTCACTGATGGTGATCAAGATGAACATATCCAGAATAAAGTTAAAGAATTAGTAGATAACAAGGTTATTGAAAGGCATTGAAGTAACAAAGAGATCGTGTTTGTAGGCTGTGAGTGTGTATTATCCAAATGACGGCCATTACCTCCAGAAGACACGGGCTCAACTCATATCCAACGTGATAGAAAAGATTTTTAAAAGTTGTTGAACTTGTTATAAAGATGCTTCAATCTGATTATCGGCTCTCTCATCCATATGTGAATCTTTTCATACCTGAATTCTGTCATTTATATATCAATTGTTAGTCTCCCTGTTGCAGAGAATGAATAGGTTGGGTTCCATCCTCCTTCAAAGGAGGTTTTTCAGTCCTCAAGTCGTCGATAAAGAGAGCATGTTGTATTCAATACCTGTCGAATTCGTGAATGGATATAAAGAGAAAATAAAAATTGACGCTGTTTACCAGGTTACTTCCAACAGCTACAGTTCATCATAGATCATTTAGGATACCAATCCATCGAACACCTCCAAAGGCATTGTTTTCGCTCAACATGGAGCGCCCGGCTCACACAAGGATTTCAAATACATTACACCTCTACTACAACAAAAAGGATTTCGAGTGGTCACTTTCAATTACCCTGGCATTGGATTCACGAAGTGTAGGAGTGTGGACATGTACAAGTGAACAGCCCCCATTTCAGATCACGATCGTTTAACGTCTACCAATGATGAGAGGAATAACTACGCTCAGGCTATAATGGATAAGCTGAACCTGACTTCAGACGGAAACTTAATAATAATGGGACATTCTCGCGGAGGAGAAAATGCTCTAGAGCTAGCTGCCGATAACATAGTAAAGATGATTAGTTAGTTGCTCACCAAACTGCTTCTGTCTCATAGAAACATACGATCGGATTAGTTATGATCAATAGCGTTGGTCTCTATACCCATCGAGGAGCAAAACCGATGTGGTTCTACCGTCCAGTCATCTATCTCGTAAAGAAACGCTTCCCCCTTATTTTCCCTTTCCTCAAATATAGTAAGTTAGAATCTTTCAAATGATCTCATTCTCTAGCTCATCTTAGTTTATAATCGGATTGGATTACGGGTACCCAACGGGGAAGTCGCAGGCTACGCTCTCATGCAAATTGCTACCTTTGACTTTGAGAAGCAGATTCCCTACATGGAGAAGATAATAAAAGATAAAAAAATCAAAATGATGTATGCTTTCTCGGGAAATGACTTCCTTATTGAACCAGAGCATTCATTCCATTATGCCAGATCATTTGAAAACATGAAAGAACTGGTAAACTTCTAGTAAGTCAGAACAATCATTATCATCAATCTTGCAGGTGTGCTTGACAAAGGATAATGAAGAAGACAACAACCGAGTAACAGAAGAAGCAAAGAAGCAGTATGATGCAGGACAGCGATTAGTTTGTACCTTTTTCGAGAAAGAAGACCACTTCTTACAAAAGAACAGAGCCTACTTCATTGCTGAAGTCATCGAGAGCATGTTCGAAAATCGCTATCATTCCATTACATCACAGTGTCTATGACCTTTGTCTTATCAATCTCTTCCTGTGTAATTTCTGTTCGACTTCCATAAAACAGTATGTAGAACTTATGAAGTTCGCTAACGATTGTGAAAACGACCTCAGTTCGTATATTCAAACTAAGATTATCGATTAAAAGTTTAAAAATCAAAGTTTGATAAAAGAAAATATGTTGTTTAATCATGAGAAGCTTGGAAAATTACCTTATTTCTATAATCTCCGTTGTTTCATAACTTCGACACCATTTCAGTGAGTATGAGGTTGATGCTATCGTTGTGCAGACGTTCTTTATACGTGAAAGAGGAATATCGATTATTTACAAGCAGAAGCACAACGGTCCGACGATATTCAGTTAGTTATTGAAACATTCCATTTTCTAAGAAACAAAGATTTTTTCGCTGAATGTTTGTTATGTACATTACAAAGAAGAACCTTTATTCATATTATGTGTACATATTGAGGTCGTTTAATTTGGGTCATTCTCCTCACCACGGCTTTCTTCGAAAACGGTTTCATCCTTAGTCAGCTTTGACTGTTCGATTTTCGAATTGGCTTCGATTACGAGAAAATGGAATATTATTGTTCCTTGCCTTCATTTTTATTTTTTTTTGCGCGAGTAGCGGTTGTGACTTATCATTCGCGCATTCAGATTTTTAATTTTAGTCATTTCGATCAGTACACATGACGGCATCTCTGAGGAAGGAGTTAGAACAACTTGTTCGAACTGAAAACATCGAGTTCGAACTGAAAAATGGAGAGAAAGTTTCTACTGCCTCAGTTATACAGGTATGTTTCTCGTTGTTATGTATTCCTCATGAGATATATCGTGCCAGGATACCCTTCCGGAAGGCTCGTGCATAGGAACTGTTGTTGCTCTTCATGGGGCTCCAGGGTCTCATAAGGATTTCAAATACATCACACCTTATCTTCATGAAAAAGGAATTAGAGTTGTTGGAGTTAACTTTCCCGACTATGGGTTAACAGCAGGGCATCCCGAACTGCAATTCGATAATACTGAACGTAATAATTATGTGAAAGCCGTTATCGATAAGGTACTTGATTATATTTTTTTTTTCAAACTTCAAATTTTCTCACGTAGGTAGGACTGAAAGAGAAAGTAATCATTGTAGGACATAGTAGAGGATGTGAGAACGCTACAGGAAGTGCTTCACTGTCAACGGTATGCGTTTGACACTGTAACAATAGAAATGCTCGGTTTCAGGATGTTCTCAGTGGGCTTGTTCTTCTGAATCCGACGGGTCTTAGATTGCACAGAGGGTTGAAGCCGTTTTGGCTCATTAGATTGGTTCTTTGGTTATATAGTTTTGGAACTGTGATGCAATCCATCCTTCATACGGCTTGCTTCAAGCGTTGGTTACTCTGAAGAGTTATGTTCATCCAGAGCTTACTTTTCAGTTTATCAATTTTTGGGTTTACGAGTAGATAATGGAAAGAGAGCTATAACTTGTATCAAGACCATGAGAAATCTAGAAATGAGTGGTTTATTACCTAAAATTTCGAAAATTAATGAAGCCAAGAACGTTAGTGTCCCGCATTTCCTCTTACCATCGGTCATGTTACAGGTTCAAGTGTTAATAGCCTACAGTGGAAAAGATTTGTTTATCGAAATACCTATAACGAAAGAGTTAGCCAATGCATTTGATGAAAGTGTAGAAGTTGTAAGTACCCATCAGTTTATTGTGATTTGACGACCTCGTTACAGATCTGCCCCACCAACAATCCTAAAGCTTTTGAAGAAGCTTATCAGGAGTCCATGACATTACTTCGGAACGGGCACAAATCGGTATGACTCGTTACTTGTTCATGTTTGTTGAAACCCGTCGTTTAAGGTTGTTCTTGGCTTCCTGACCGAGGGTCATTTCCTTCAAAAACATCAGCCAAAAATAATCGCGGACTCCATTGAGGCTATGCTTTTACGGAAACAATGAAAGGCCATGGAAGATGAAGCTTCGATTATCTGTGATAAAGCTTTAAGCTCATAGTCAACAACATGATCTATCTAGTTTACTTGTAATAATTTGCATAAAATTTTTCGAAAAATTTTTAACACTTGAACAATCATGGGAACTGAAAAGATGATATCTGCTCGTACGGCTGGGAAGCCATTCATTGGGTGCTTCATATCATCATGCTTTATGTTGAAATTTGCTTAATTAGCTTATGATGATAGGCAGAACTTTATTTATGTTGCAATCGGCTGTCCAAATATGATAATGCGGCTTCTGTTAAGTGATTGGAAGAAACAAAAAGGACTGACAGGCGACAATACGTATAGCACTGGCCAAACATGAGCCATTATGCTCTTAGGGTATATAAGCACCAGTAAATCCTCTGATATCAGCATTCCATTTGGTTCTACATTCCATCTCAATTCCTTCCTTTTCAGAATGATCGCCCATCTCATTGTAGCTCTTTCACTTGTCTCTCTTACCTCTGCCACAGCATTGGCTGATGATTTCAACTGTACTGATGCTGATGGAAATGTATAGTTCACTTCAACATTAGCTCCTTAAACTCTGTATTCAATTTCAGTGGGCTGCTTCAGCTGTTTCCTGCGATAATGTATTGAGTGATGCAGTCTGCGATACATTGGTCATCAACCCACCTGCTATTCAAGTTGGAACCAAGAATGATGACAGAGCTCCTCTATGCAAAGTAGTGAGCAACAATCCCAATGAAGAGCAAAAGCAAGCTATGATCTCCATCTGTCCTAAAACTTGTGGATATTGCTGCCTCACACCCCAGTACTCCTGCAGAAACAAAGACTGTTAGAATAACTCTGTTGTACATTCTAAACTGTCCATTTCAGTACCAGCTATGAACTGTGCCACCATCAAGCCAGCTCAATGTAAAGATCCCAAATGGCGTGAGGTTATTGCTTCTGAATGTCCCAACGCTTGCGGTTTCTGTCTTGAAGGTTTGAAAATGAAACTGAGCGAACTGATAGTGAGGTACTTAAGGTGGATGTGTTGATGCTATTGTTCAATGCGCTAATGACATCACTATCTGCCGTAACATTGATCTCCAAGACTTCGTTAGGGACAACTGCAAGAAAACTTGTGGATTCTGTACAAGTACAGTTTAGCAGCGCGTTCCCTGATATTTTTCTATTTCAGACAGCGGTATTTCGACAACAAGAGCTGGCTGTATGGATAACGGAAACAAGTAAGATTATGCTCTCTAATTAACTCATAATAATGTTTTTCAGCTGTGTCAGCTGGAAGAACAATGGCTTCTGTAACAGCACCTTCTACTCGGATATCCAAAAGCGTCAGTACTGTGCCAGATCTTGTAACCTGTGCTAATCCAGCTGTGATTTGATTCAAGAATTTGCAAGAATGTATAAACAAACTAATTTAATTTCCCACATTCGAAGTTTGACCAACTTCTAAATAAACGCTTTTTCCATTCCCGCCTTTGAAAGTTCATTAACGTATAACGCGTGCAAACAGCCTAGTTTACAAGAATGAGTTAGTGCAACCGTTCTCTTCCAATCAACATCTATAAATGAAAAGTCCAATTTCAATACAAGCGCGCGGTATCCTAGCCAACAAAAACGCTCTTTTGTCATCATATTTTCTCTCTGCCATGACGTTTGCTAAATAAGAAACCAAGGTTGAGAGATCGCCATCAAACTTTATTGATGGGCGGGTAATTCTCTTGAATTACAGATTCATATGGATGAATCATTTGCTCACAAAATGACTACAGGATGACATATGGTAAACACTAGTCCCATCTTATTTGTTGGTATAATTCGGAACTTTACGTGCCAATTTCACCATTGGTTTGTTAAAGTGAAAGGGGTGGGACTGAAGACAAAAATTGCTATTGATTATATCAATAGTACGTGCGAAAGCGTTTCCCCGCATTCCTGTAGTGTATATAAAGGAGATAATGCGCTCTTGCTCTTGAATATGTGTCTTGATTTCATCCCATGATGCAGTGTCGTTTCGAAATTTTCTTTACAGTGACCTTATTTCAGTGAGTGTGCAAAATGTCCTCAACCGTTTCTAAGAGTTATAATTCTGGTGCTGATCCTATTGTGAAGTACTGCTCTGAGGTTTGTACACAAACTGTTTCGCAAGCAATCTATTTATTCAGCATACATGTAAGTTACATCCCCTCCAAATTGAGCTACAGAACCATACCCTTCGTCATGTTGAAATGAGCCAAATGCTCGGAGCCCCTGAGGTGGATTTCTTCTTCTTGTTAACTATTTTACCAGTGATCATTAGGTCCTAACAGTTGGACATAACTTCATTCAATTAATTGGTGCTAAGAAGTGTCTGGATATCGGAACATACACTGGAGCTTCTGCTCTAGCTTGGGCACTCGCTCTTGGCAATGATGGAAAGGTTAGATAGGAGTCGATTTATCCGGTAACCGAGTTCCTCAGGTTTTCACTTTTGACCTCGATCTCAAGAACTATAAGGAGCATGGATTGAAAATTATCCAAAAAGCTCCAGAAGTTCAAAAGAAAATCACAGCGGTGGAAGGTGCAGCTTTGAAGTCTCTTGGTATGTTTCAAAGATCACCTAAAGAGACTGTTGATATTCAGATGATTTGATTGCGAATGGAGCTTCAGGCACTTTCGATTTCGCTTTTATTGATGCTGATAAGGTATGCCCTCTTCCTGAACATCAGCTCATGACTACTTTCAGCGTAATTATACCAATTATTACGATCGCTGCGTCACTTTGCTCCGGACAGGAGGAGTTATTTTGGTTGACAACGTGAGCCATCTAATGTATCCATATATTGTCATATCTGTTGTTTTCAGTCTCTCTGGGGCGGTATTGTTGCTACGGGATACTCCAAGGAAGATACGACTTCGGCTGCTATCGATGAAACCAACAATAAGGTTTATTATTTGGAGAAAAACTTGCTCATTATGTATCCATTCCAGATCTTCAAGGATACCAAAACGAACTCAGCTCTTCTCAACTGTGGAGATGGGCTTCATATTGCTTTCAAGAAATAATCATTCTTCTGATATTGTATTAAATGTAATAAACATGTTTTTTTTCATACCTTAAAGGACATACCTCAAAGATCTTACCTGAATGATCTGTCCTCCTTCCGATGAGGAAATCATGATCGCAAAAAGAAGATCGTAAAAGTGCAAAATAAGCGAATGAGTTCGGCGGACAAGTTTTTTGCAGAAGTGCATAACATGAGTACATTGTTTGTTTGCTTGTAAGGGTGCTATAATCAGAAAATGGGGAACGCGTCATGTATCATCCGCTCTTTGATTTACTACGAATAATCGTACTTCCGCTCTTGCAATTAGAGCTATGTATACGTGTACATTATGAATACCAAAGTATTGGACTGATGCAACCGCTCTCTGCGAATCTACGGGTTTAAATGAAGGAGCAAATTTCATTTACACATCACAGTACACGATCTTAACGTCGACCAAAGTAACAACTTTCTCTCAAAAGCCATTCTCTTCTCTTAGTTTACGTGTGTGTAGTTTGCTCCACTTTTTCAGAGAATTGATTCAAGGTTGAAAGATCATGATTAAATTCACCAAATTAGTGATGCAGATTAGTACTCTTTAAAGGAAGAACAACAAACATCAGTGGCATTCTATGTGTTGCTTAGTTGTAATTGTTCTCTGCGGAACCAGAAGATTCAATGGGAACACTGGACACTAGCGTTAAAAATAGCTCATGATAAGTAGACGTGGATAATGAAACCATCCCAGAAGAAAGGTATAAAAGAAAGAAAGGTCGATGACCAGGAGTATGTGCTTTTCGTTTTTATCTCCTTTTGCAACTCTCCTTGTTTTTCAGTGAGTGTGCAATATGGCCGCAAACGTTGCTAAGAGTTATGAATCTGGTGCTGATCCTATTGTGAAGTACTGCTCAGAGGTTTGAACCACAAAATGAAAATGAATCATAATATGTTTATTCAGCATACTTGCAAGTTGCATCCTCTCCAAATTGAACTTCAAAACTATACTCTCCAGAATGTAGAAATGAGCCAAATGCTTGGAGCCCCTGAGGTGGATTTCTCTTTGTCTAGTGGATACCTATTTTTATGAATCTTCAGGTTCTTACTATTGGACAAAATTTCATTCAACTCATTGGTGCTAAGAAGTGTTTGGATATCGGAACATACACTGGAGCTTCTGCTCTAGCTTGGGCTCTATCTCTTGGCAATGATGGAAAGGTTAGATAGGAGTTCACTTTGTCTGGTGACCGAGTTTTCCAGGTTCTCACTTTTGATGTTGACCATAAAAACTACAGAGAGCATGGTGTGAAAATAATTCAGAAATGCCAGGAAACTGAAAAGAAGATTACTCCTGTTGAAGGCCCAGCGTTGAAGTCTCTTGGTATGTTCCAAGGATCATCTAGATAGGCTAACTGATGTTCAGATGATTTGATTGCGAATGGAGCTTCAGGCACTTTCGATTTCGCTTTTATTGATGCTGATAAGGTATTTTCTGTGTGTGAATTAATCTATGAAGTACTTCTTAGACCACTTATCCTGAGTATTATGATCGCTGCGTCACTTTGCTCAGATCAGGCGGAATCATTATGGTTGACAACGTGAGTAGATGCAGTGACAGCATTCGCTCATAATAAAAATCTTCAGGCTCTCCGAAGAGGGACGATAGCTACGGGTTACCCTAAAGACGATATGGCATGTCTGGCTATTGACCGAACGAATGACTTGGTTTGCAGTTAACCTGGCTGTATCATTTACTCACAGTTTCGTTATAGATCTTCGACGATTCCAGAACAAACTCAGCTCTTCTCAACTGTGGAGATGGGCTTCATATTGCTTTCAAGAAATAATCATTCTTCTGATATTGTATTAAATGTGATAAATGTTTATATTATACTAGAAAGGTCTTATTGTAAAGATGATCACGCTATAATTGATTCTTATCCTATACGCAGGTCGATCATGAATAAAAAAATGTCAACCGGTTCGGGCATATTGATTGCTCTGTTCCTACCCATACTACTTTCTATAGTTTCTTTTCTGTTTAGATTTCACAGTTAACCTCTGCCATTTCTTTGTACCTTGTTTATTTATTATTTTCAGATGCCTCTTAAAGATATTATTGAGAAGCTCATTCAATCTTCAGACAATGAACATGATAAACTCACCAACTTCATCAATGGACAATTTGTGAAACCATCCTCTGGAACTTGGATGTCCTCTATCAATCCTGGCACAGGGAAAACATGGATCGAGATCCCTGATTCTGGAAAAGACGATGTTGAACTTGCTGTGAACGCTGCAAATACTGCTTTCAAGAGGTCGGTTTCAAACTTTCTGCAATTATGTGGCTGATAGTTGGTCAGAAAAACCAGTGGAAGAACGGTCAAACCTCTTAAATAAATTGGCGGATTTGCTCGAGGAAAATTTAGCAGGACTGGCCATTTTGGAATCAAGAGATCAAGGAAAGCCAATAAACTTGGCAAAGTGAGCATTTTTGAGTTCAAAGTGAAACCGGTTGTTATTATGATAGGTTCATTGATATTCCTCGTTGTATTCACAATTTCCGATTCTTCGCAAGCTCTTCCCTTCATGAAACAACACCGTGAGTTAACACTTTCGATATTAAGTCGTATACCAGTGCTTTAGTTGCTCTTTCCTTGAAAAGCCTGTGAGAGCTCTCAATTACGTCAAAAGAGACGCTGTAGGTGTAGCTGGCTTGATAAGTCCATGGAATCTTCCCCTTTATTTGGTATGAATCTAAGAGAAATGGATACCATACTCTCATCTTAAGCTATCCTTCAAACTTGCACCTGCTCTCATTGCTGGAAACACCGTCGTTTGCAAGCCTAGCGAGTTAACTAGTGTAACGGCTTGGGTTCTCATGCACGCCTTCAAAGAAATTGGTAAGATATACATATTTTCATCATTCACACGAGAACAACCGCTTGACGTCGTCGAACGCATCAAAATGAAAATCTTACCCGCACGCAATCATTTTTTGAACACTGTATGCTAGTTTACTTCTAGGTTTCCCTGACGGTGTTGTTAACATGATCATTGGAACTGGACCTTCGGCTGGACAACACATTGTAGAACATCCCGATGTTCCGTTATTAAGTTTCACAGGAAGTATGTTATTGCAACTGTTTGACTTCAAACCGTTTATGAACAGGCACGATTGTTGGTAAAAAGATTGCAGCAGCCGCTGCTGAGCACAATAAGAAAGTGTCTCTTGAAATGGGTGGAAAGAACTCAGCGATTGTCTTCCCTTCATGCAAATTGGATGTTCACATCCCTACTCTAGTACGGTGAGTACTCTGTCATAACAGTGAGATCTTTATGTTTTTAAGGTCTTGTTTCATAAATCAAGGTGAAATCTGTTTATGTACGAGCAGACTCTACGTTCATGACAGTATTTATGATGAATTCCTGAAGATGTTCCTAACTGAAACTGAAAAGGTTGGAAGTCGCTTCCATTCGTTTCAAGCCCAACAACTTATTTAGTATTCTGTTGGAGACCCTGAAGAGAATATGACGCTTGGAGCAATGAATTCGAAACAACACTTCGAGAAGGTTCATTGTTCAGTACAGTTTTAGGGTTTTATATGTTTTCCTCCAGGTTAAATCTTATGTTGGCATAGCTAAAGAGGAAGGAAAAGTTCATTGTGGTGGACCCGTGACGGTTCCTGGAAAATGTTCGGAGGTTTGAGATTTATATGTGTGTAAGCTATTGATTCTTGTCAGGGATACTACATATCTCCTACAGTCGTCACTGATATTGGCGATGACAGTCGATGCATGAACGAAGAGATATTTGGTCCTGTCGTTTGTATCATTAAGTTTAATGATTTGGAGGTTCGATTGAATAATGAGTGCAGAATCATTAATTCAATTTCAGGAAGTCGTTAATAGATCGAACTCTTCTTCTTACGGTCTCTCAGCTACTGTTTGGAGCGAAAAAATGGACGAGCTGATTGAGACGAGTAACAAGCTTCGAGTTGGAACTGTATGGTGTAACACATGGCTGGTATATTTTCAAACTTTGTGAAGTAGTTAAGTAATTTCACTAGACAAGAGACTTGAAGATGCCCTTCGGTGGAACAAAACAATCAGGGATAGGACGCGAAGGCCAGGAGGATTCTCTCCACTTCTTCACTGAGGCGAAAACTGTGTGTATTCGTTATTAGAGATTTTCATTCAAATAATCAAATTCAATAAGTCTTTTGTACACAATAAATTACACTCTTAGGAATATGAAATCTGATATTGCTCCAACCATCAAACGGTTTTTCGTGGTGCTGCTGTAGGGGCACGTACCCGGATTTGAGGCTAAAACAGTGGTTATACGGTTTTACTCGTAAAATTGAACTTACAATGATGTCATAATGATGAACAGGCTCAGGAGGGTCTCCACTCACAGCCATAACTGTTAAAGCTAGCATGAGAACTATGCTGAAGTGAAGTAGTAAGTAAGGTTTGTGTATGATAGTAGTTACCCAAGTAAAGCCAGGATAAACGGCTGGTTGAAGCCTAGAGATGACACGACGCCGCCCATTTAAAAAAACATTTCAACGACTGTAACACGTTGGTTATTACAAAGGAAGAGTGAAGACAAAGAAAATCCAAAGCTTCATTTAACTAATTCTATTCGAAGAGAGCTTTACGTACTAATCAATAAGCTTTTTGACTGAAGTCTTGCCTATTTATGAAAGCAAAAGTTATTCCAACGCTTTGCTCATAAGAATCGAAAACATAAAGAAGTATGATAGGAACTATGAGATTTAGTTACACATAATCGATATTTGAGAAGAATAAGCTGAAGTAATAAGTTCCAAGCAGAAACAATGAAAAGCAAAGAGCTGATGCGCAGATTTCAACTTCGTCACTGATGGAAATGGAAAAGAGGAAGCAGCAATTGCAATTTTTAATAATCTGTTCGATTTTCATTTCCAGATGTGAGGCGATACGATTGCAAACTAAAGCAGTTATGAATTGATCGATTCATGGACTCAAAAGGTTATGATGAAGGAAATGACATGCTGAAGATGGATTTCAAAGAGAGAGGTCACTTGTATGAAGCTAAGTATATAAGAACATCAATTACAATTCCTTAAATATTGTAAACATCAAATATCTGCAGCAGCAGGTGAAGCTGAGCTGCATCGATTGCTGTGAGAGGCGGAGCCGGAAAGGGCCTGAAGGCACTAGAGGAGGTCCTGCTGGAGGAGAGAAATGTTGAGAAGGGAGAGAAAAACAGATGAGTGAGAGAAAGCAAAGGACCAAGAGAAAGAACCTCGTTCTCTAGTAAGACTAATTTAATCGACGACGAGTGGACATTTTGTGAGCTTTCATCACGGGTTTGCGTGGATAAATACCAGTTGACGGGTGTTAGATGCAATTCGTTTGCCTTCTTCATTCATTTGTTTTTAAAGAAAGCAAAAGTTGGATTAAGCATAGTTAGGTTGCGTTGAATCGTAAGTCTCTCTCTCTCCTACTCTCTCTCTCTCCAAAGCTCATTTGTGTTTAGAATGGTGTTCGGAGAGCCAATAAGATATTTGGTTGCTGGAAATATAATAAGAAAGCTCTATGAAGAAATATAAAAGAGTAATTTACTATTGAAAATGCTCAAACAATCAAGTACTTTCGATTAGAAGTCCATTAGAGAGACATCTCTGTCTATCCAAATGTGATAAACACAAATTTTCCTTTATTGACTATCGAATTTTCCAACTTTTGACACACAATATATGATATTTTGAAAGAATGAAAGATACGGCAAGTTAGACGGATGTGGACGTTCAATGCGAAGGTCTTCGTAGATGTTTATAGCAGGGGTCGTTTCTACGGAAAGGAACGTGTGGAAAACGTTTCTTACGGAATGCACACGGATCATATTCATCATTCAATGATGACATTAGGATTTCATCCAACTTTTCCATTTTCTTATCATCAGAAAATGCTAGCTCATTTAAATCGCTTGATGGAAACATGTGATCCTCTAGTTGAACATCAGGCTTGTGATATGACAGAATCTGGAGAAGAAACGATAAGATAGAAACCTTTTGACAACCTTTACTTCCTCTCGATGAGCTGTCTTCTGTGGTTGAGACACAAGATCTTCGTTTTCATCAGATTTCTAAAGAGACAAACTGGGATGGCTCAATACGTCACTTGTTTTACCTCTTGTAAGGTTTTTTGTTTTTCTTCCTCTTGCAGGTGATGGAAATTCGCTTCCTCGTCATGCAATTCCGCCATCAAATGTTTTTCCTTAATGTTGTTGTCGGACTGCAATGGAGAATATCTTACCTGATCTCGAATTTTTTCCAATAATAATTCACTATTTTCAATTGCTAATAAGTCTTTATCGAGTTGTGATGAGACTTTCGTTATCTTCTCTTGGATGGTTGGCATTTCAGAAATTGGATTGTTCAGTGGTACACCATCTCTCAAGTCATGAGCTGCACCTGAGTCAGCGGGAAAGACAGCCTGAAACAGTAGATAGGAAGACTAATACACAGGAGCCTACTTTCTCGAAAAACTCCTTGTAAGTTACATACAAGGGTAGACATTCATTGATTCGGTCTCGATGTATACGATGAACATGCTTGTAGACTAGATTACGACGTTCATACTTCTGAACAGGAGCTTCTGAAAACAACGATAGCCTATCAATGGAAGTACATGAGTCGAACCTTTGGTTAGTAGCTCGATTTCTCCTAAATGTTCAATATAATATGATCGATTTCCTTTTGAGATAAAATGTGGACTGAGAAATTGGACCAATTTTGCCTGAAAACAAAAAAAAAAGTTTTTTGAAAGCAACGCCGAAAACACAACCGCCATTTACGTGTGAGGAAACGAAATGAAAATTCTTTACGGGAGATGAAAAGGCGTCAAATGATAAAAGCAAATTAGAATATTACGAAAAGGTGCTATGACGTAATAATAATCAATCGATAAACCTTTTCATTGGTCCCTTCGTATCCACAGTTGTGCTCTACCAGTATGTAAGGTTCAATAGTTGAGAACTGAACAGTCATTACATTAATAGTATTAAATGACTACCCTTACTTCGTATGTTGTCCCTTTAACACAAAATGTCCCGAAGGCATCAGAATTAGCGGAACCCATGAGATCATCTGCATCCAGGAGGAAAACTGGAAGGATATGACGAAATTAGAAGCAACAAGGGGATGCTACATGAATCTTCATCGTATAATTGAATAAATATTCCAGGCTGACGTATTCCACGACACGTGAGATGTCCTTTAGCTCCAATTCGTTGTTCGATGCTTTGGACAGACAATATGAGAGTGTTCAGTAACCAAAGATATTTATACATCATCTTTGAAAAATTAAAATTTATAAAAAGAATTGGAGAAAGAGAAAGAACAAAAAGAAATGAAATGACGCTTTTCTATCATCTTACCTTATATATGGCGCTGTCTGAACATCATTCTGAAACTTATGAGTCGCCATTGTGAGACAAGTGAAAAGAAAAACAAAATGTCAAGTTAAAGGAAACATCCATATAGTTTTGATTTGAATGAAATTATTTTTTATACAAACAAGGAGTAGAGGGGGGGGGGGAAGGAAGTTAATTTGGAATAGTTCGTAGAGAGAGAGTAGTTGGTAACAGTCATAGGTGATGGATGTATTCCTGAATCAGAAGATAACATGGGCATTCGTGGTCTTCATGCCATACAAGGTAATTTGATATTTTTATACTTCCACTTCTCTCTTTATCCACAATTGCATTCATCCAATTCTATTTGTGATGTTTTGAAATTCCTTTTTTTGGCTTACATCCTTCAACAGCTATGTTTGTTACATGTGAATTGGTGGCCAGGAGTTGGATCGTTTTTTTTCTCTGAAAATTCCAACATAATTCTGAAATTAAATGTCAATAAATAAAATTTTTTTTTATTCCTGCTCCCATAGAAACATTTTGTGTTTGTATTTCCATTATTCCTATGACTACAGACATTGCATTCCTTCATCTGGTCATGCATTTCAGTCCCTTCTGAGAAGCAGATCATAAGTCAAGTTCATAAGATGAGTTTATGTAAAACCTCTTTCAGATTGAAAAAGCTGAAAGAAGACTCAACCTCTATAAGTATTCTTTCGTTCATTCACTTTTCACAAATTGATTCTTTCTCTTCAAAGACAGACACACACCCTTTGACATTCAAATTATTCTTTTTCATCATCAAAGTATACATCTAGGTATTGTGAGTACTACTAAATTATCTTAATTTCTATGGCCAGAAGCTGTAATCTATTAAACAGCTGAAAGGCAAGAGGGTTGCTAAGCAGCCAGAGGCCATAAAAGTGATGTGAAAGACTGAGATAAGCTTACTCACTTTTCACATTTTGAAACTTTCTTATTCTATTTTCAAACAAACTATTGAGATCGGCTGACTTTCACACATGAATCTTCGATATTTGATCAGCTTTATTGTTATTTTATTATTTTGAGAGAGAGCAAAAAGACGCTGTTAAGCATGATATTACCATTGATCTCTACTCTTGTCTCACGGTATTCTTTAAGTTATGAAGTCTGTGATAAGAATATGAATCATCTCTAGAAGCATCATAGAATCATTGTAAAGATCTGAGGATTTTTGTAAAATGATCAAGTTTGTAAGATAACATATCACATTCTTCTTATACTATAGACATTGCTTATCTGTTAGTCGAAGAGGTACACCTCAAGAGTTCACAAGTCGAGTTCGCATTTTTGAGAAAAACACAATGCATTTCCTTGTTTTATCCATAGTAGTGGTAAAGTTAATAACAGATGAGTCATTTGAACATATTTGCTTCATTTTCTTATCTCTTACAATAATTACATGGATGATGTCATTGCATATTTTAAAAACTGGTTGGCTTTTATAAAAACCATTTTAGCTCCACAGCCAGTCAGTCAGTCGAACAGTCAACGCAAAAACCATTTCATTGAACAAAGGCTATGATGTCTGACTGCCACGTTCCTCATATTGACTTAAGCCTTGATAATACCTCAAGTTTTACACCATTATTTGTCTTTTTTTCATCCTCTCCTTCTCTAACTCAAGCTTTTAATTCATTTTTTCCTTCTTTGACTTCCTACCTTCGAACCATATATGGATAGTCATCGGTGTCGCGTGTTGGCCGAACTGTGTCTATGAAACGAAACTGCTTCAACTTCGTTTCTTAGCTTTTCGCTCTGTCATCAGTTTCCGTTGAAACTGGATTAGTACAATGTTTAACAACTTCTTGCTTATCACATGTCTTCATTCTGAAATCCTCTTCATCATTCCCCTGGAGCTTCAAGAACTGCTTGAGTCATAAGAATTAAGAGGGAAGTAACCTTAGTCATCATATAATATTTTTTCATGATTGATATTCATTGTAGACATAGATGTGATATCACAATCGCACCCCTCTTTCGAACCCCTTTTTTGGCAAATAAATAATTTGACAAACAGTTATTTCCAAATATGAGTTAGTCCTTACTCTTCAGTGTTCATATTGCTTCGAGTATCGAATGCTTGTCTCTTGCTCTACATTTCTATTTCCTTTTTAAACATATTCATTTCCAGATGTGTTTCTCGGCTATTGGTCAAATTATATATGGAATTCTTATGGCTCTTTGCCTAGCACTCACAGTGACGTCCATGTTTACACCTGGTTTGTTATATTTGTATAACTCAAAGTGAACTCGAAAAAAAATGAAACATATATAGTATGAACCAAAAATCTAGGTTAAAATAATTTGAATGCAACCGCTCTGTGACGCTTAGAAATGAAAATGAGTATCATACCACGGTTACCTCGTGGTTATTAGAATAATGGTGTCCGATATGCTAATTACCTTACACATGATTGCATCTTAAGCCGATATTCTAAAAGTATACTTATAAACCAAATTGTAGGCTGGAGAGACTTTAGTGATCAATTGCAAGATGACTTGAAAAACTTAGAAATACCAAAAGCTCAAGGAATTTTACCCTTTGCTTGCTCATTCCCTGGGGAAACAAATAAACCACAGGGAGGAATGAGTGATAAGGACTACTGTAAATTATGGTGGAAGGTAAAAACCATTTAACACTGTTAATTCACTCTTATGTTCATATAGAATTTGGGTGATTGGGAGAGGGTAGTTATTGTTTTCATGGGCTTGGCAATCATAACGGAACTAATAGCTTTGGTGTGGAACTTATTCAGCTGGTTAGTCTCTATGAGAATTAAAAATGAAAATCTAAAAAATGTACATTTTAAGTTGTGCATGCTGCTGCAAGAAATATCTTCTTCATCCATTATCACCTTTGTCCTTCTTCGTTGTCCTGTTTCTCGCAGTTGCAGTCATTGTTTACGCCGTAAACAACAAACATGCATACGGTACAGCTGAAGTTTCAATTCAGAATTCTAAGAGTGATTTCAGATAACATACAAGACTTCCATGATATACAAGATAAAATGACTAGTGAAGTGAGTCATCAGATCAAAGTCCTAGTACATTAATCTCGTAATTCCAGGTTGGATATTCGTTCTGGCTAGCTGTAGGTGCACTGGGTATAGCCATAATCGATACTATCGTTGCATCCATAACAGTCTTCTGCGGTGAGAGATGTTGTTAAACAGTTATTCTTTCTGTTTTTATTTAATTTGTAACAAAAATATCAGTTGAAGCTTTATTTACTAAGACTTGTAAAACATTATTTAATTGAAAAACATTATGTCAGCCAGATATAATCGGGTCTTGAATCAGTTGACAAGCTCATCTGTGATACTTCACTCTTCCCATTTATCCCATTTTGACGATCAATTCCATTGTATTCATTGCATTTTTTAACTATATCAGAGTATGTGAACGATCGTTATGTTCTTGAGAATAGTAGAGAACATTCCAATAAATTTTTATTTGAAAAATTCCACTTGAACAGTAGGTCGACTACAGATAGTACAGTTGAGTTCTATGATTGAGATCAGCAACAGTCATTGGAGCAGCATTCAGTTGAACATACACAGCAACATCCAAGCAAAACATCCAGACACTTTCCAAAAATGTTACAGCAATCAGTGAATATTTCCGCAATTCCTGAACAGCATGAACGTTCTAGATTTGAAGTTTCCTCATCGTTGGATTCCATAGTGTGTCTACCTGAAGAACTAAACTAAACAAGTACATGCTGTGATACGAGACAGAAAGATGAGAAAAACCAGTATTTCAAATGATTTCGCAGGATGTATTGAGAGTTGTAGTGTGAAAATGGAATGAAAGCTTACGTTTAGTAGTAGTCGTGTAACAGCCTGGACGCTGATGCTTTGTCAGAAAACAGATTGTATGAGCTGGTTAATCTATAGAATCAGATTGAATATTGAATGAAGAATTATAGAAATCATGTAAAATAAGTTGGCGTAAACGGCAAGAGGACAAACTAATCGATCGATGAAACGACGCTGAACAGGCTAGAGCCTCTCAGTAACCTTCAAAGTCTCTGAATCATATTAGGCAGGTGAATTAGGGAAGATAATCCAATTAAAATTTATTATATGTAAAAGTGTGATTAATAGCCACCAACACAACGCTATTTCACAAGATATCAAATAAGTTAAGTTCTATTTACAATTAGCGATTTCATAACCATAAGACTAAAAGAAAACACTTTAAAATTAGAATTCAAATCACAAGATCAATGGCGAACCGTTGAATGTACATACATCTGGTTTACGAGAACAACTGAGTTAGGTTGACCTACACGTGATTTCTTCAATGAAGCTGTAACAACAACAATAACGATCAGTTTGATCAACACACGAAATCTTTTGATTTTTCTTTACTTTATATGATTATGAGGTTTTGAACCGAACCAAATTTTTGTTTTTCAGCCTCAGACAGCCAAGGATTTCAACAGTTTATCTTTCTGCTGTTTTATTTAGCGAAACCAATCCTTTTTTTTTCATCACAGACTGATCAACAAATGTCACACAGCGCCTGTGCTAACTCTTCAGCGTACACCGTATGGGTATAGTTAAGTGACAACCATAGTGTTATCGCGCGAAAAACGAAATAAACTTTTACCTGGCGGCATTATGAATGAAAGTACTTCCAAGAACAATTGCAGGTCCACCACTTCCTTGGGCTCTGCAACAAAATTTTCATTTATAATAGATCTTTAGATATATCTAACCGTTTTTCGTTCATGCTTCTAACAAACACTGACTCTTCGAACGTAGCCCCACCGACAATGAAAATTATGACGTTTTCCTGACGGAAACTTTAAATACCATAGTTTATCCGAATATTATATTTTGAATGTTATACCTTCCCACTTCACCAGTCACATAAGGATATGCTTGATCAGAAAGTCGACCCCGCACTAAATTTTCCACGACATCCTTGAGATATGGTTCATGTTGCGTATATATGTTCTCAACACCCTTCAAGCCCTTTATAAATCTGAAGAAGTTTGGAGTTTTTTTTCTTGAACGGAGAGACTCAAACCTCTTCGTCATCTCCATTGTTGATCCTTGTCCAAATAAATCATTGGATCGTTTGGAATGCCCAGCAAATCTTATCATTGCACTCACTATGTTCCCAGCGGATGAATCCTGAAAAACTCAATCAACTCCATGTTCCCCGACAATAGAACCTTGTCTTTCAGCATTTTCACCAAATTCGAACATTCGTTGTTGCTGTATGTTTCAAATCGAAGAGTGTATAGCAATACTAATCGCAAGGCATTCTAAAACAGCAGGTCAAGCACAAGCATTTTCAAATCCCATACCAATCGTGTTGTTTTTGGATGACGCAAAAGTTCTTTTATTCGTTCAAGACATCTCGTGTGATCACCTTCAGCAACGATCGATTGCTCAACCTGAAGAAACAAGGAGGAAATGAATAATCCGAAAATAGCGAACCTCTGATGTTTCTAACAAATTCTGATTACTAACTATCTTACTCAGCTCACCAACAAGAGTAACATGCTTCGACACAGTTCCTTAAATAGCTTTATTATACATGTTCTTTGAGAGTGTCTATGCAATCGTATCTTCAATCTAATTAGCATACTCATGCTCGCTATGACGTGATATTTCACGTGCTTTCCAGACTTTCTGTTTTACATTTTCGATTGTTCAAACGGGCGATACGGTTGTTTTGGTTAAATTGCGAACGCAGTCAAGTTTCTTTACTTTTATTCCAAAACATACGAATGAATCACCTGATATCTTTTTGAACTGTGGATATTCTTCAACGAAATTCTTCATATCAGAGATGGATTCTAAGTTCTTGTGAATCTGAGACCTTTGTTGGAAATCGTTCATCAAAAGTTTGATGTTTTGGCCGATCTCTCCGAAATTCATAGCAACATTCTAATAGAAACTACATGAACAACAATCTTAGGAAAGAAAAACCTTAGCATAGAAGTCATCATGCAGTTCATTCAAAACCATACTTTGTCCTTCGACGCAGACTCTGTTATTTGATATAGTTATCAACTCATGTACCTAAGACAGAATGGTTCAACTCGAGTAATTGAAGGTATAGTTACCATAGCTTCATATGTCCATTGATTCAAAAGAGGGGAGACAGGATCTTCACTGCGGTCAAGTATTAGTAGGAGAGTATCTTGCTTTGTGTTTTCAAAAAGACCCTCTTCTCTACGAATAACTTGTGAAACTTCTTCGGCTAGACGTTGGCAATCAGTTGACGAGCGTTGGTATCTAATATATCACATTTGACTGAATGGATTCTACTTTCAAATAACCTTATGATTGCTCGCTTCTTCAAACTAAGCATCAAAGCAGTAAGAGCTTGTCTGATTCGCAGAAAGGCAGGAGTTGTTAGTCGGAATGTATGATCATAGACGGATTTTTGGTTGAGGACGAATAGATGCGAACATAAAGAAATGCTGTCGACGAAATACTCATGAACTTCTCGAACAGTTTCCTGCTCATCAGCTTCAGCTAAGAGTTTCAGATCAGTTTTGCTGATAATATTTGAGAAATCTGGAAGAGACTGATGAATTCAAGTTGTAACAGAGCAACGAACAAATATAATATTGTGCATATTTGGGGCATCTCAACTCTTCAGACAAGAGTTGAATGTTGTCAGATGTAGGCCTTAGAAAGACGATGCATTTCAGATGTTTAATAGCCTCCCGAGGCACAGGTGAATCAATCCTCTCAAACAGATAAACCTGTAATAATCTAACTGAAGATGGGATCAAGGGAACATGCGAAAACCTCTTTCTGCATCATTTCAGATTGGGCAAAAGCACATGACACTATGCTAGTCTGAATATTTGAGGTATTTCAAGGATTTCAATGTAAACCAACTGTTTCTTTATCCATCAAGATAACTTTCATTTGTGGCCCCGCTAAGGAAACCATTTCCTTTATATAAGCTCTACTCGTACCCAACAAATCCATTCTAAACGACGGAAAGCGTATGAGTGATTGTGAATATATGGATGTGTTAAAAGAAGAAAAATAGAGAAGTGTTGTATGTTGTGATGTAGGCTTTGAAAACGTTTGTTTATAATCAATAAAAACTAATTAGAGAGTCCAGATAGCTCTTTCTGTAGTAAATAAATGGCCGCCGTCAGATTAAAAAGCCTTGTGCAATATACGGGGATTTCATTGAAAAGTTTGCTATCTGATTGAGTAACCACATGAAGTGTTCGTCATAACTATAATAGCATAACAGACTCGTTTGTTGATTTGATAATGAAAATTATGTTATTATAAGTCACCCATACATTTTTGTCTGAACGACACAGGACGTTGTGCCGTCACAACGAAAACATCATCACCATGTCTTTTCAACGTGGAATTCCTGGAAAGCTTTTTTTGTTAAGCCGTAATTAAAAGAAACTGAAGTTTTGACTTGATTGATCTTCTCATAAAGCAATGTTTACTCGTTTTGTTCTTGGAATCATGTGAATCAAGGTGAAAATTACGTTTTATAGGTAATGGAGGAGGAGAAACCTCAAACCGTCCCCACTTCCAAGGTGGAGACTCTTCCTCCAATCACAGGAGCTACAAACCCTTTGAAGAAGAAGATAGACAAACTTGTCGCTAGTAGACTACACAATGATACGGTTAGTTTTCTTTTCTTTCTTCATCCAAGTTGATTTTGAAGGAGTTTCTCCAAATGGTCGACTACATCTCGCCGATGGTGGATGATATTGATATGCATACCGAGCGCCGGTTATTGCGGAAGCTTGAGCAGAAAGAAGTAGATCTAAACAAGGATTATTTGAAAGAGTTCGAGAAGGTATATTGCATTTTCTGAGTTTTTTAAAACATTTCTGAGGTTCAGATGAATTCTTACGTTCAAGACTTCGCTGACAAAGTCCGCAGAATGCACAGCATTTGTTCTGATTTGACCAGTAGAATCCAACAGAACAAGGAAAAGACTCAGGATCTTCTCAGTAAGACGAGTGCTTTGCAAAGCCAAAAGTAAGGTTTTCCCCGTTCACTCTTCTATCATGAAAGTTCAGACGACATCTCGAGACTAAACAAAAAAATATTGACGAGTTCTTAGGGAAATTTTCATTAACCGAAGCTGAAAGCAAGGCCTTAGAAGGAAACATAACAGGTATATCTTGGTTCTTTCTGTTTCTTCTTAGTGTTTCTGATCAAATTCAGACGGTACCGTAACAACTGATTTCTTCCCAGCTCTTAACAGAGTCAAAGAGATCTATTCACAAAGTAAAAATTTGTTGAGATCAAGTGGAGAACATTCTGCCGCGTAAGATATTCTACTTTTTCGATTCTGTATATTTTTCCTGCAGATTGGAAGTTATGGAAGACATGTCGCAGAAGATGGAGAAGGCTTATGAAGTTTTGTACCGAAGCATTCAAAGTTTGAATTTCACTGAGTTTCGTGTCTGTATCTAATTGTTCCAGGGGAATGCCGAGTTCTGAACATGGATTACATAGAGTTGAAGCACATTCTTTGTTTGTCGTTTGCCGCTCTCCAAGATAGGGAAGTTCTTCTGAAATATTCTCTCGGTATGGTCAAACCACTTACTCTGAAATCAATGTTTCGTTTAAGATGAATTTTGTACTGCCAGAAAGAATCAAATTCTCCGTCATTATATTGATGCTTTAACGAAAGGAGCTCACGGAGGAGGAAAACCCATCGAACTAATGAGTCATGATCCTCAAAGATATCTAGGAGATATGTTGGCTTGGATCTATGAAGCTATTGAGGGAGAGAGGGAGTTGTTACAGATGTTGCTGAAAGAGTGTAAGGAAGAAGGTTTGATCTCAACCTTTATACTGAATGCAGTTTATGTTTCAAGTTTATAAGGATAGTTTCACTCATGTTCTATCTGAAATTTCAAGTGCTCTCTGTCGTCCTTTCAAGGTAACAGATCTTCCAATTGAGCTCAGCAGTTATTAACATGTTCTAGATAAGAGTCGAGCAAGCTCTAGCTAACGAAACAGATTCGGTGGTTCTATACAGCTTGTCTGCTCTGTTCACTTTCTATGCTGGTAAAATCATGTAAGCTAAGAATTAACTTTCCAACAAATCCTTGTCGAATAGACCTGACATTGGATCCGAGAGTGAAATCGCACACACCATCAGCGAGTTGAACAACTTGACTCTAAATATATTCCATACTAGTTTAAACAATTCTGTTCAAAGGATATTGGCGAAGGTTATTCACATCTTCTTTCTTTTCTCGAATTGGTAGTTTAGATGGGAGCTCCCGATTATGATTTACTGCCGGTGCAAGCTGTACACCAGATTCTCATGTTGCTCAGGTATAAAACCATGATTTTTAAATTCTGACAACTCTGAATGCTTATAGGGAAGTATTAGAAACACATGACGGGTCAATGGTTGGACATAACGACTCAAAGGAAGAGTTCAATAAGGTAATTCATCTTGAAATGAATGAGTTACTGATCTTTTTCAGATTTTCTCTTGTGTTCTTGATCCTTTGTACAGGGCTATTCAGATTGCTACGACCCAATTACATTCTCCTTTAGGTGAGAAGAGGAATACTCTTATAGCTGATTTTATAATGTTTTAGATGTTGCTGTTTATACTTTGAATTGTTTAAGCTCAATACAGTCTGCAGTGATTCTTTACCAGTTCACAGACACTCGTCTCGAAATGATCAAAGCTTTGGTATTGTTCTATTCAATTGAATTGATATGAAAGTTCGTTCCAGATGGAAGCCAATGAAGACGTTCTTGTGTCTGAAGAAGCCTCTGCGATTTTAGCCTCTACTGGTCTTATACATATCTATACAAAAGCTGCTGCTCATGACCCTAATCAAGTAATAACTCACCTTATATCTGAATCACTTGCTTCTATAGGGTCCTCTCTCGGCTATCTCTGGAATGGATTCAGCTACCGTTGTGAAAACATTTACAGCTTTTGATAGCTTCCTGGGACAACCAGACAGTTGTCGGTTAGACCAAGTATCCAAGATTAGTAGTTCCCGCGTTAGGTAATTGACCGATAGCTATTATTCGTTGACTGACAGATCTGTGTTTCCAGAGATTCAGTTCGCAAGCGAACGATGGAAAATGTGATCGGTGCATATGCCGTGATCATTCGTAAAATAGAAGAAACTTCCAACAAATATGAGAATATTGCATATAAATCAGTGGAACAGGTGTCTGAACTTCTTTTGTAAAAACAGTGATATGTAAGTAAACTTATAATTTATATTATGTACGTAATTCTACTTCACTTTGTATATTTTGCTTTTAACCTTAGTGCAATTATCGAGGGTATATTTTATGTGATGGATAATATATAAATAATTAATAAAACTTTTATTTATATACGTCATCCTTCTTCGATATGGGTCTCTTACTCTTCAACTACTTACAACCATTGCTGACAAATACATGATTCTTGTTTTTGATACCAACACTCCAATCTCATTAAAGAAGAGAGAGGTTGACTATTGCGAAATGTTATGTACACGTGTACTAAGCATTGAATGTTATGTGTGCATTCACTTCATAGCATAGTATTCTGATTGTTTTTCCTTTCAAACTCCTTTTTGAAGTTATCGATCATGTTCCACATCATAATTAGCATAATGCACGTGGACGTGCCAACTCGCGCCAACTCATTTTTTAATTTACTGATAAGTGACGCGGTCGTACTACATCACTGTCATTATACTCTAGTTCTAATTCTTTGATTTTGACTCTTATAGAATGTTTCAACGTCAACGAAGACAACAAAGAGAAAATGTTGGAGTTTATCTCCTGGCCATGCAGCTCCTCAGCGCTGGCCCCATTCCTCCCATAACTCTTGGCGCTATTTTATTACAAATCGCTGTTTTTCTTGGCTACGTACCGTTTTTGGACTCAGATAAAACTAGTAGGTTATTAGGCACAATGAAAAACTTTTTTTTTCTTTTAAGAGTCGTTGTGTCTTTTACCCACCAAAATAATTCAAAATGGTGAATGGTATCGTTTGATTTTTCCTGTAATAATGCATGGTTCCGACATGCACTTGTACTATAACATGATATCGCTTCTGTATAAGGTAACACTCTGAAAAAGAAAATCATGGCTAAATCGTGTTTTTAGGGTAAAAAACTTGAAAAGAAGCTAGGCTCATCAACGTTCGCATGCATTTTATGCGTGTTTACTATTGCCTCCACATGTATGACTGTTGCAGTCAGCAGTCTTTTGGATACATTTGTTGGAACAGAGTTCAGTAGACAGTGTGCTGTAGGATTCTCAGGTGCGTAAAAGTTTTTGTTTGGGGTTGGCTATATATGACAAAGTTGATAATGATGGGTGCGAAATAAAAGGTAATGGTAATGGTATACAAATAGTTGAGTTTCCATGAGTTATTGGGAATATGAGCTCTCTGTTTCCATCAATGAGTGAGGTCTTATTCATACATGTGTAAACGTTATCAATTAACCTTTCACACTTCCATTCCCACTTTCCTGTTTGTGTTCTCAAGTACTTATTAGTAATTCATCGGTGATATCTCGTATTGCTCTGCACTTATCATGTAGCATTACTTCAACACTGTCGTATGCTTAGCAGATATCTATAGTCAAACGAATTATTATTTTTTGTTATTCTTGTTTAATGGAATACTTCGGAGACTCCAAATATTTTGATGATCATTAAGTTCTTCAATGAACTCATTTTGTTGTTAATAATTGCTGGATTTCGTTCATTTAATTTTTCTCCTGAATCGCTGCGTCATCTGCTTCTATATCACATAGTTTAAGTGGAATGAATGAATTGCGTTCCTCTGAGCTCATTCTGCTTTCAGCGTGTTTCTCGTAAGCAGTCTAACTGAGCCACTAACAGGCATTACTTTGTTCTAATAGTTTTCTGCAGCTAGATGAAGTTCTAATTGAATTGCTTCATTTTACTCATTATAACATCTATGTCATCATGAAGTATGTATGATGACCACGCCAGACGGCTTCTATAGTAGTTTAGGTTAGAACGTAAACAGATATAATCCTTTCTTGTTCTCTTCTATATTGCGGTTTCTTTGAACGTTTCTATTTAGTCATCTTCATTTGAATGAACACAATTGAAGCTATCAGTTTTTGTTTGTCGCTCAGCGTTTACGTTAATATGTCGGATCCACTTAAACATCTTAATTAATTTTCTCTAACTAGTTGTCTTTTTTTATCTTTGCTCTGACCGCGTGTTGTACGTTTTCAATCTATCATCGTTAACTATAATTTTCTGCTCATCACCGCCTGTTCCACTAATATTTCACCTGTAAGATCATCATATTCTCTCATCTCGTAAATTTCTGATAAGTGCGCGTTTTCCAGGGTGTAGTTGTAAATTTAATGATTGTAGTAAAGCTCTTTTCTATCAGACGAGAGCAGCAAGTTGACTCGATGGAGATATTGCATCTCAGGTGTCACTTCTTATGTAACAATTCATCATAATCTGCTTTGTTTCATTCTCTTTTTTTCTCAATATATTAACGAATGATTTCATTCTAATCCTATTCCCATTTCTTAATTGTATACATATCTATGCGTATATGAGCATGTTATATCATAACTTTGATATGCTGAGCAGTTTTATTGATGAAGTGGGCTAGTCTTTTATCGTTATGACTTTGATGTATTCCCCTTCTGGGACTGAGATTTTGGATGTGAGTTGAAGCCAAGAAAGAGAAGATGGAATTACGATTAATAGCATTTTCGACGCCTTGAACTTCTCTAATCTGAAAAAAAAGAAATCGATTGACCGTTTCTTGTTATTACTTCTCCTTATGTTTACGGTTTCGTATAGTTGTAATGAGGGAAGAAAGGAAACAAAAAGGTTTCTTTTTTTTCTGCCAGCTGTTGTAAATTACCTATTTTAGAGTGTGCACGGTCGTCCCTGAAAGACTGTTGCACTATTATTAATATGACTATACCCCTGTAGAACATATGGTATGATTGGCTTCTCTTTATAATGCAATTGATATGTTCATTGATACCACTCCCTCCCAATATTCGAATAGCTCTTCTTCGGGAATTATTGGTCAATCATTTTTGCATGAGCTTGTTGGGTTGACTAAAATGTAAAACGATCCATGCATTTTGATTCTCTTTGAAGTCTCATGCTTACAATGTGAAACTATATCCATTTCACCTCTGTAAATAGCATCATTACATAATTTCCCTAGCAATCTTGAAGATTTCTAAATTTCGTGAAAATCATTTTTTGATGTACGCTTACTTCTTTTAATTATGTAATCCGGTGACAGAATAGGAATTCATATAAGGATATTGCATAGTTATGCCAATATTTGTCCTACGATTTGCATACAGCTGTCACCACTCACTGTTGATTATGTGTATATGACCATAAAAGGGAGAGAGACTGCTTCTGCTCCTAGCTGAGACTCGGCTTCACTTATGATGACCACTTCGCTCCACCATGAAGTTGTTTTAAGATAGGATTACGAGCTTATTTCTCACTACACAAAGATTTGTTTTTAAGAAGCTGTAGATTACAAAAATTTATTTGATTATCAAGAAATTTTATGTCTATATTCAATGTTATCATTTCTAAGTTTTATATGGAGCTCAAAAGAATATTAAATATATTCATTTGCTACTATTCTCTCTTCTCAAATTAGCCTTCAACAATCATAAGGTTTCGTCACATCATTAATAAGAAAAGTCCGCATTTTCAAATTTCCCATCACCTTTGTTTATTCATTAGAGGATTTGAGATCAAAATGGCGGATAAAGTTCTTTTATCTTTAACGCTGATCGATGAACCTCATCATTATCCATACAATTTTCTTTTCTTGTCAAATTTTATTACTCTTTTTTCGAGGTTGATCTCGAAGAGACTGAGTGAAGTTCCGAGATTGTTGAAAAGCCCGCATTCAATATTCATACGCACTTTTCTTTGGAATAAGAAGCCGTTAGACTCCAGAATATGAAATGACATGTAATCCTTGGAAATCTTGTTGTTCATGTTTTTTTCTTGTCCTTGAATTATTCCCTGTGCCTGGTCAGAAAAAACGAGATTAAAGTTATGGACATTGCTAGTTTTGGTTTTTATTATTTAAATTTCCTTTTCTTAGTGAATAACATATCCTACTAGGAATTAGCACATTTACATGTGATTTATTAACATTTGAGGTCACTTGAGGAAAAAACTTTTCTTGAAAGTTTCCCCTCTGAGTATTGCGCTACTATTCCTACGCCATTATGTTCTTGCTCAGTGCTTCGCCGCCTCGTTTTGGGCAGATTTTGCTTTTTTGTGAGCTCTGTCGTTATTAGTTTAAGCCTCGCGTGCTTTGCGTTGATCTTGTAGTTGTCAAGTAAAGTTTTTTTTCTCTTAAGCAATGTAGACGTTCTATTGTTCTTAAAATGCAATCCTACTGTGTCCAATGAACTATATGTTTTTGACCTTTTTCGTGAGAAATTACGCAACTGGCTATAATCTCAATCACACGGGTCTGAGTAACATATATCTTGAATATAACTGTCTATCATTCAACACGCTACTGCCAGATTTCTAATGCGACAAGTTTTTTTTTTCTTTTAATGAAAGGAACAGTTCTATGATTAACTATTACTTTATTTGGAGATGTGGATGAAAAGGTGATTCAATCAGTTTTTCTTTAAAGTTTCTTTTTTTTTTCCTCAAATGAAGGCGTTGTCATTTTGATAGACTCGTGTTCGTTCAACTTTTTCTATTCAACTGCTTACTTCTTGATATTCTTTCTTTCCTCTCTTTCTCAGTCTCTCTCCTTCATATTAGTTTTAACTTGCTAGCTGATGTAACACTACGAGACCCTCGTTTGCGCTTTAGTTGGGCTATTGTGTTTCCTTGCGTTGCCTTTTCCAATTTTAGCGGCAATACTAAAGTATTTCAGCTTTTCAAAGGTAAGCTACGAATACATATTTTCATTCCTTTCATTTGCATATAATCATAAGAATTCAAACTTATGCTGTTAAACTGTTTGCGAATATCAAACCATTTATGGCTTCTCCTTTGTGTTCCCTTTTTCGAACCTTATTCTCAATCATTTTCGGTTTCAAACATATTCTGAATGTAATAATGGATAGCTACTTGGGACTTGCTACATCTAAAGTATGTCAAAAGAGCATCTTTATAGATTCTCCTTCGTGCTTTTCCTTCATCCTTCTCATCTCTGTCTTCCTATGTTTATGCAAATTATGACAATATGCCGATACTTCCTTATATGGCTCGTGATGAGAAATATAATGAAAGGCTCTTGTCGCCCTTCCTTATTCTTCGACAAGATTGGAATTGCCTTCAAACTTCTCGAACATATGTTCACTTTCTGTCCATTCGATTGCACCAGATGATGAGAAGTAGCCCCGAATTCAGCTAAAGATGTTTTCATTCTTTACGTTTATGATGTTTTTTTAACATTTTCAATCTTGGTGGTCTCCTTATATGCAAGGCGGCTTTTTTCATGGATCATTCTATTTACTCTTCATAACGTTAGGTTTCATCTTTGTCGCTTCTTCGGCTTAAACAAACCTTTCACGCTAGTTTTCGTAAAGCAAAACTTGGGAAGATCTTCTCCGTGCCATTTATGCAATGATCATAGTGATTTTGTTTTTATGAGTCGTGAATGTTAGTCTCATCAGACTGAAGCGGTTCCTCTGTGATCTACAGCTGATAACAGTTGTCTATTTTTTTCTATCCTAAAGGGTGTTACAAGTTATCTCACATAAAACCAGGTTTCAATTAATTCTAATCGCTTTTGTCATCTTGCCTCATACGCTTCTCAAGTTGTTCTGAACCCTCAGTTTGTCATGAACTAGAAAACTTTTATATATGATTAGTGTGTACAGGACTAAATTATAGCTACTAAAGCCTCTATAAATCAGTTGTGATCTTTCAAAAATAGCTTTTATCCAAGTTTCCTAGTTTTCATGAAAGTATTCGTTTATTAGGATCCCTGCTGAGCACAGCTCTTGAATAGCTTTATTTGGCTTGCTGAATGATCCGTGTTTTCATTAAGCTTGCATCGCTCAACTGTATACGTTCGATCAGATAGTTCCTACATTCGCGATGTTTGTCTCGGAAATATTTCAGTTTGAGCTGTGCTGATCATTTCTTTCCCACACAGTTTTTGCATCTAAGTTTTGTTTATTTTCTTTAACCGATTGACGAATTAAAATTCAAGGAAGCACAATTCTCGATTGTCTTCCCTCTGTCTTCTCAAATTCGACTCAATGGTAGCTTTTCATTAAACTGGACTTTTCTGTTCTCTCACCTCATCAGACGTTCTTTTCTCTTCATTGCCAGTTTTCTGTTTCCGAATGTATTACAAGCATATGCAAACATTGTTTCAAACGACAAGGGGCCGAGTTGATTGTGGACATCAGCTTGTTGCATGTATTTTTCTGCCCCTTGAAATGAGAGAGTTTCTTAAACAATTTTTTTAAAGCATTTGAACCAATGTATTTCCTTATTTCGTATTTTTTATAATCTTCTATTGATGCATCGATTCCGAATACTTTCTCCTCCCTCTTTTCACAAAAGATCATCATATAACCTTATGCTTAAGCTTTTTCTCTGACTCATTGAGTTCTTTATCATCACAAGATCTCAAATGAGCAATCATATTACCGATCTCATTTTACAATGAAAACAGAGAGTTAATATTTTAAAGATGAAAAACATCCTTCAATATAATGGTGGCGAGTAGAATGGATTCTTCACATATCGAGATCTGTTCGGTCAGTGAAAGTTTATTGAACTCATCTGGATCAACCGGAAGTATGGGTAGTAGTCCTTCACATTTCTCGAGATCATCGAGTGACTCCTTAATCAAGTATAGGTATGCCTATCAGTTAAAGCTTGTCCATTATTTCTGCATTCAGGAAACCTAAGTTTTCTGAGAAGTATCAATGGATCCCATTATCTGTAGCTTCAATTCTCATTGTACTACTATCCTTGCTCATGATGATTATGATGCTCTTCATACTTCAACTCAAGCAAGAAGCTGCATACTGTAGACAAGAAAACGATGAAAATGCTTACCACAAGCTCTTCTATGAGAATACTGAAAAGGTTTGGTTGGTTCCTCTTCTAGGTATAATCAATGTTATTCAGCTCGAGGTCTCGTCGGATCAATTGAGAAACTTGTTCGATGCCAACAGAATACGAAGAAACCTTAAATGGATGTCGAGAAACAATCATATTGCAGGATTGAGTGATAACACGATTTTGATGAAACGGATCGCTGATGAAGTTAGCTTACTGTTGTTCAACGAATCTTATGCATTACTTCAGTACGAACGTCTTGGTCTTGATGTTAGAATTCATAACTATACGGTTCTGCTCAACTACCCAGATTTCAATCATCCAAACACAGTTGAAATTTTGGATGAAGACGACAGATGGTTCACTATCAGCCATGGATATGGGCTAAAACTAGGACCTGCTCAAGCGTCCAAAGAGGTTGCTTTCACTCATATGCACAATCCGATAACACAAACTGATGCTTTAGCAATCTGATCCTCGATCAACTTTATGGTGGAATGCATACTCGGGAAATGGTTCAGTTGAGAGCACTATTGTATATTGTAATTATGGAATGCCAGAGGACTATAAAGATCTTCAGAAGGTTGCTTATTGTCAAATGACTGTCCAATCACATTATCTTTTCAAGTGGGGTATCAATGTGACCGATTCGATAGCTCTAATACGTTACGGCGGTATTTCACGCTCTGAAAAAGTCAAGGAAGCGAAACGAAATGGAGTAGCTGCCATCATTTTATACAGTGATCCTATACATTACACTAATAGGAATAGTAACAAAGTAAGCGCTCAAGGGTTGTGGTTGGTTTACCTTCCCTATTCAGACATTTCCCGACGATATTTATCTGCCTGGAACGGATGCTCAAAGAGGCTCGGTTCTTTCCACCCATGGTGACCCACTCACTCCTATGTTTCCTTCATTACCATACGTGCTACGCACTGAGAGCCAAGAGTCGCTAACTGTGAAAGGTTATCATACCTCAGTACACCTTTATTATACCAGCTTATTCAGGCTATCTGAATGTTCTTCCTGTTACTCCGATTGGTTATGACGACGCAGAACGGTTGATGCATTTGCTGGATGGTCCTCTAGTCCATGTACCTCCACGAATTCCTGATTAGTTGTCTATCTTGCGAATTTCAGAAATCAGAATGGAAAGGAGGATTAACTGTGCATTATCGACTTACAGGAAGTAAAAAGTTTCGAGTTAACGTTCGATCCAGGAATGCTAAAAGAGTTGTATCGAATGTGATTGCTACTCTTAAAGGAAAAGAAGAACCCGACAGATGGATTCTTGTAGGGAACCATGTAGATGCATGGGGCAGTGTAAGACTTGTATTGAGACTTCGTTTGATTGTTCTTTCTCAGGGCGCAATTGATCCTTTATCCGGTACTGCAACACAGCTAGAGATGGCCCGTGTAGCATCTACGGTAGAATGGAGAGTCATTTAACCATAATTTATTGCGAAAAATTGCAGCTTTATGGCAAAGAAGCACCTAGACGAACTATAGTTTTCTGTCATTGGGACGCTGAAGAATTCGGTCTCATTGGATCAACCGAATGGATCGAAGAGATGCAAGCTGTGCTCAGTGATAGGTATACACTTTTTGCAGAGGATTTGTTAATAAGAATGTTACAGAGCCGTTGCCTACATCAACGTTGACCACATAGCAGGAAACACCACACTAGATGTGAAGGCAGTACCTTTGCTGTATAGATTGATTGTTGACTCAGCTGCGAAGATTCCTCAGCTTAACGAGGATGAAAAGTTACAGAAGAGAAGCACGCTTCTTGATTCATGGCTGTACTATCGCAATAAGAGCCCGTTCCCTGGTGATAGATCCATGCCAGATATCGGTTTGCCGGGAAGTGGTTCAGACTATCAAGTAATTATTTCTGAGTAATCGACATACGTTAATCTGTGATTTATTCAGAGATTTATCACGTTTGCCGGCGTTGCTTCAGCCGATTTGAAGATGGAAAGTATTCCTGGGATGTCATATGCCTTGTATCATACTATGTATGAGACGTTTTGGACTGTCCAGAACTTAATGGATCCTAACTTTTCGTCTATGTTGTCTATTGGACAACTATGGATGGAAATAGTGCATCAGTTATCAAATCGATTGGTAAACGCTTACACAACTAAACCTGAAAACCGTGATTGTTTAGGTCATTCCTTTCCACCCATTACACTTTGCTCAATCCTTAACTTCTATCTTCCACAAAGCAGAAACTCAAATATCTCACATGAATGTTTCTCAGCACATTCCGAAGTATTATGAGAAAGTGACTGGAGTGAAACATGCGTTACGACGATTAATGAACGTTGCTACTGTGTTCCAGCTGGAAGTTCAGGTATACGTTTCCAATTCGGTCGCGAAACTTTTAAATGTTTAAGGAAATTTCATCCGGATTAACAACGACAAGTATTTCTAGAGTAGATCAGTTGAACAGGAGACTTATTCTTTTGGAAAGGGCGATGCTCGATTCACACGCTTTTAGACAACCTATATATAAGCACCTTCTGTACTCTCCTTCTCGTTACCCTTCACAAGTTAGCTGTCTCGCTAGCATTTTAGATCCTTGTCTTGAATTCCTGGAGAATGAGAGAAATTCTATAGAAACCTTAAACGAGTTTGTTTTTAGCTTTACGCGTCTGCAATTCGCAGTTGAAAGTGCAATTAAGATACTTAGTTTTGACTAGTTAAACAACACGGGTTTAGTATAACTAAAGGAATTATGAAACGATTAGTATTTGTCCCAGCTGATTGAGAGCTGATGTATTATTTCTTCGGTCTGTTAAGATCTCTGCATAGCCTTGTTTATGAATTAATGAAACATGCTGTGATAATAAACAATGGTTCGCACGACTCATTATCAACTTTGTCAGAGGGGATGGGGGATATATAGGGGAAGGTTAAATGTGTTTGTTTGTAGGAGTTCTCTTTGCCCTGAAAGTGCTAATGAACCATTACTTTCCGTTCAGCCATTCCTCGATACTTGGTTGGCTACCTATTCCTGCAAAGTATGCTTGTTGGGCAGAACTGATTCTCATTGAGGTTTGCACGAATACTTCTTCTCCTAATATGGATATTTCAGTTTGTAACTCCTAACTCATCATTTGTTGGTCACTTTTCTGGAATTCTAACAGGACTTTTGTATACATATGGTCCGCTGAGAGAAACTGTCGCAATACTTCGAAATATAGTTGGTGAATCATCACATCGTCACAGACCAGAGCCTTCTGCCCCGCCTCAGGAAGATGATGATCCGACATACCGCTCGTATCGTACGAGAGGTGGAACGTCTACAAGGGATTCAATTTATAGGTTTTTGAAACATAAATTCTGATACTTATGAGTCTTCAGAGAATATACGGGTGGCCTGTCAGAAGAAGAGCAACTCAGAAGAGCTTATGAAGAATCTCTCAAGGATGCCAATCCTTCAAGACGCTACGGTTGGAACATTTGAGATCTTGCAGAGAAAATGGGACTTCTTCTTTGGAAATATGCTTCTCCTGATTGTTTTTTACGTGTATAAATAGTTGAGAATAAGTTGTGTGAATCGAATCTCTGTGTGCGCTAAAAGCTTCGTGCTATTTTTGCAGTTCCAATTTCAATTTAGATTTTTAGGAGCGGTGCTGTTGATGTCTCTTCAATCGTTATCTTCTAGCACAGTTCTGACTGAAAGGTTATTGTATTCACTGCCCTAAGATCCTATGGAAGTGAAACGGGGAAAACATGATAATAGTCTATTATTGATGTGTCATTGACAAGTCTTTTCTCATCGTAAATAGTCTGCCAAAGATCCCGTAGCATGTTCCGCAGGTCCATTCTCCTGCACGTAGTTCTTTTCTGTCTGTAGCTCTGGAGCATAACATGTGCAGAGGCAAAAGTTGTCTTATCAATACTTCATTTGTTAACTGGAAACTTTGTTCAGAAATCTATTTGTACATAAACTGATACATGTCAATCTATGAGTGTAAGTGAAGCTGTTTTCCCTTTTTGGGGGAAGTTTTGGCTTCTTTCAGCATTTCATGTTTATAATTGACAGACAACGTATTCTAGGCCATAGTCTCTTTTAACAATCAGCTTGAACGTTGTTAGGTGTTGACAAGTCATCACGAGGTCCAAAACAAAATTGGCTATTTTGAACAGTTCCTGCACTTTTATATTCCCTTGTTTACCCTCCTCCGATTCAGTTTTTCGAGCTCTTTCCAAATATGGTACTCATTCTTTATTCCGTTCATTAAGAACTGAGTTATTCCCTCGTAAACTTTCCTTCATAATAACCACGTAACGTACGCCGTACGATGTACGGTGCGGAAGTTCATAAGTACACGCGAAGTTTCACGTTTCACGGTCCCCACGGACCAGATCCCTAGGGGGAGGCGAAACTATGACACTCAGAGTC